TAAAAATGCATAGAAGTGCTGCTCAGTGCAATCTAAAAAAATGGATGCCAGCACATGCTAATGCTAGCACTGTGGGGTAAACAAGCTTTAAATGTTATCAGATTTGGCAAAATACCAGTGAATACACTGTTCTATCTCACAAGAACCTCTCACATGGTGGCCACAGACAGTCCCCTGCTGTTCTGCATCAACTGTCAATAGGAGTTACTGCAAGTGATTAGAAACACAAATACTTAGAGGTGGATACATATTAGCTTCAGTATTACTCTTGTTTTCCATATACCTTTAAGGTCTCGTGAACACGGGAGAAAAAAACAATTTTTTTACTGATCTGAACACAGGTACATTGTTGTCAATGGTACAGTGCACATAGTTGCAAAAAGATCAGTAATACAGCAATCAGTACAGAGCCTGTAATATAAAAATAGAAAATGTAACATTTGAGTGCAGTAATTTTTATGCATATGCATTTATACATCTACATATGCACATACAGAATATTTATTTTATTGCAACACTGGCAACTAGAAGAGGATGAAAAAGAATTTTAAGCATGTATACAAATATACACATTTACGCAAGATCTTTACGGAACATTTTGTCAACAAGATTAGGTACAGTAGTTACATAGTTACATAATCTGGCTGAAAAGAAGACAAAAGTCCATCCAGTTCAACCAAAAAAAAAAAGTTATAATCCTATACCATTGATAGTATGAAACCTTTCCATGTTTGCTGATTAAATTTCTTTTCCTCCAGACGTAAAGAGTGCCCCCTTGTCCTCTGTGATGACCTCGGGGTGAATAACTCTACACCATGTTCACTATATGAACCACTGATGTATTTATACATGTTGATCATATCTCCCCTTAATCTCCTCTTCTCAAGAGAGAATAAATTCAGTTCCTCTTAACTTTCCTCATAGCTGAGCTCCTCCATGCCTCTTATCAGTTTGGTCACTCATCTCTGTACTTTCTCCAGTTCCCCAATGTTCTTTTTGTGAATTGGTGCCCAAACCTGAACTGCATATTCCAGATGAGGTCTTATTAATGATATGTACAGGGGTAAGATGATATCTCGCTCTCTGGAGTCTATACCCATTTTAATACAAGAGAGGATTTTGCTCGCTTTAGAAACCGCAGCTTGGCATTGCATGCCATTATTAAGCATTTTTTAGGATTCTGTGTATAAACATCAGTAAACTATTGCATCCATGTGCAAGAAGCCTAAGGGTATACAGTTCAAGGGTATTATACTGTAAAAACACTGTATGGCCAAGAATGTCTTAAAAAGTCAACATTATGACACATAACATCATATATAGTTGCAAATATTCATTTAAGTAATTCTAAAGGCTTTTAAATAAAAAGTATGGTTGTGTACATAGTTTCCATATGTATTATGTCTAAGACTGCAGAAATGATTAACAAAAAATATTTTTTTAGTCACGTAAATATGAAATTTTATTAATATTTTGCATTCTTATTTTTTTTAGCCAGCAATTTAAAATTTTCCAGGCTCTCATTTTATTGAATCCTGAATTTACACACAGGTGGATGACTCATCAACTGTGACTTGACCTTTATCAGACAGGTCAGTCAAAGTGCCTGTCAGAAAAAATGAGAAAAACAAGTAGGCAGCTGTCCCCTTCGGTAACTCATTGTGCTCTGAGAATCTCTTTATTAAATAGTTATTGGTAAAACAAAGATTGTGTATAGACAATGAGATAATATATATATTCTTAAACAATAGTTCAAAAACAAACTTGCAAAAATACAACTAGAATGTTCCAAAACCTTTATAGTTTAACTTTTTCACTGCAATTGATGTAAAGGCATAAATCTGAGGCAGAGCTATCCCATCGCTACAGCAGCTGGAAGTTTGTTTTCATTCTCACAAACAATAATGCCACCCAATCACTTCCACATGAAGAGTAACATGCTGCCCCATGATGTCTCTTTAAAAAAGAACTTGCGATTTGCTTTATGCTATAACAAAGGGAATTTATGAGCCCCCTTGTGATAGTAATAAAGTTAAAGTGATATTAAACCCTAGGTTTTTAATAGTTTTTAGCAGCTGATTTAATTACTTACTGAGTATACAACTTCTTTATCTTTTAATCCTTGCCTGTGCATGGTGCCATGACCACTGCCCCAAGTTTCCTGTTTCAGGGTGGATCCTTTCACTTGCAGCAGCCTTTAGAGTCACCCTTGCATGCAGGGACTAGAGTTGTGTCTCCATACACTGTGCATTAATAGAACCTCATAGTCCTTTAGTCTAAGGTGGCAAAGCACACCCCTGTTCCTCCCTCCTCCTGCCTTCTCCCTTCTGCAAGCTAAAAGAATATGCTGTACACTGATAACTATTTCTTTTGAAGATCAGAAGTTCAGAGAAGCAGCACTGGGAGAGCAGGAGCCAACAGTATTTAATTTTGTATACTGCTGGGGTAAGAATTGTAATAAATAGCTTACTGTGGAATTTAAATTTTTCTGTGCTTAATGCGTTACATGAAAAAACAGATTTAATACTACTTTAAGTGAAAAAAAAAATAAAAGAATTTTTAAAAATTAAAATTTGATCAAATCAATCAAATATTTTTAAAGCATGCACCTACAGGTGTAAACTCATGTTTCGAGTGTGCCTGCATATGAAAAAACGTTTGTGCCACATATATTAGGTATTTGGGTACCATAGTTTCTCACTGTCACAGGCATGTACATATTTTAAAGCTTGACATGTTTGGTGTCTATTTTCTCAATGCAGCCCTCAATGCAAAAATTGGGTAATATGTTGTGTTTGTATGCACTGAAATGTATGTTTTCTATCTATTTTTACTGAAAATATGGGTAACAGATGGTTTAAAAAAAAATGGGCAAAACAAACAGTAGAACTAATATTGTGTCACATGAAAAATTGCAGCTACCACCATTTTATTTTCCAGAGTCTGTACTTTCACAAAATATATCATGTTTGGGCTTTCATGTCTAAAATGTATATTATAAACTGTGCAAAAAATGAAAAGAAAAAAAAAGGCTCTATCAGCAAACATTATGTGATTAAGTAGTTCTTTACATATACAAGTTTGCAATAATACTGTAAGGGAATTAAGAGCAGATAGAACCCACATCCAGTAGACTACTATCATAATAGTCAACAGGGCTGCAATGGGGCTCAAGGCAGAAGGGACCCCAGTGGGAAACAAAAGGGGTGAAATATTTGTCTTGTCCTGCCCTGACAGCTCGTATGTGGTAGTTTTTTGGCCACCAGGACTTCTTCGGCTAGTTCACTTGGAATTCACAGTGACCACTAGTGTCCAAAGAAAGCAACCACTGGCTTTTTCCCCTACAGAGTGATCTACCGCTGCCACCCTCCAGCACTATGTACATCTCACAAGCTTTGTAGGGACCTGATGCATTTTCCTCCCAGGAAATGCCACAGTCACTTAGGGCTCAGTCAGACAGTAGCAGAGGCAGCTGTAGGGAGAGGCTGCTGAGAGAGACCTCTGACAGAAAGGCATTCACTATACAATCTGATTATACAATCTCCTTTAGATACGCCATCAAGTATGTAGAGCAAAGGCCTGATATGATATTATTGTAATCAGTTGTTTAACTTTGTTTTCATATTACAGTTTACATATTACAGAGATTGTACAGTCAGATTGTATGTCCAGCTTTAGTGTGTCTTTATAGTGTGTGCGTATTTATTGTGTGCATGTTAGTGTGTCTTTGTAGTGTGTGTGTGTGTGTGTGTGTGTGCATGTGTTTTAGTGTGTGTGTGTCTGTGTGCGTGTAGGCTGAAGATACCTGCCTCTAATCCTGCTAGCAAGGAATTAACGTTCGGATCCAGGTGAGTATTTACCCTGCTCTGCATAGTAATCCTGTCACTGGCAACTTTGTCCTGCCAGACAGTGCTCTTTTCCTTCCTATGGCCCGTACTGATGGGTAGTGGGTAATTAGTGGGTATAAATGGAAAGTCTTCCTTCTACTGACCACTAACGTAAGTGGACATCCTTCCTTTCACTAACCACCAATGTAAGAGGGATTTATTCATCTACTGACCACCAGCATAAGATTGCATTCTTCTTTCTATTGAGTACCAACTTAGGGGACCATTCTTCCTCCTACTGACCACCAACATAAGGGAGTATTCTTCCTTCTACTGACCAGAAGGGAGCCCTGCTTATTTTATAAGGCAATGTTCTGAATGTAAAGGGAGAGATCTTCCTTCTATTGACCACCTAGATAAAGGGGAATTCTTCCACTGACCACCAATGTAGGAGATGCATTCCTCCTCTCATTGACCACCAATGTAGAGGGATTTATCCTCCAACTGACCACCCATTTATGGGGACATTTTTTCTTTCTAATGACCACCAACGCAAGGAAGCATTGTTCTTCCTACTGGCTACCAATGTAAAGGAGCATGCTTCCTTCTACTGACCACAAACATAAGGGAGAATTCCTCCTCCTGAGCACCAATATAAGGGAGCATTTTTCCTTTTCACTGACTAACAATGTAAGGAAGTGTTCTTCCTTCTTCTGAAATGACATTTAGATTGTGACCTTTGATGTCAAAGAACATTCTGTAAATCTTTCTTGTCTTTGAAGTATACAATATATATGTCATCTTTTCTGTTCTGATTTAAATCCAGTTCTTATACATGTACACCAATCCCTTTAGGAGATCCTGTCTATAATGCACTGCTTTCTCCACACTTGACCACTAGATTCCACACCTTTACTGCCTGCTAGGTGTCTCAGACAAGAGGGTACCCACACTTGACTTGACGTGACAGTTGACAAGCCAACAAGGAAGAACGGGTATTTAGCTACAGACTAGAAGTGTGTCTTCCAATCATTTTCATCACCCAAAGTAAGAAAGCGTACTGCCAGCGGTACACATTCCACAAATTGGTAAACGCTACAATTACATGACAGTAAAAAGTGAAATAGAAAGTGCAACAGTGAAGAGAGTAATCAAGAGATAAAGTTGATTTACCTGTAGTCATCACGTGTGGCAATAAGGCTGGACACATTCCTCAGAATACCTCCTCCACTTTCTATGATGGACAAGGAGTTGCTCTGACACTTGTATGTAAGGGTGCTCACCAGAAACCCAAGGGAACCCTCAACTGAGCAGACGGAGGCCTTGTTTTCAGTGCTATGAGCAGATAAATTCCACAAAGCACTTAACACGCTTTTCAAAGTGGACTCCTGAGGGAGGAAAATGACAAGTCTTTAATAAAAAAAAAAAACTATTGTTTTTATTTGTTTAATAACTTGGTATATATTTGCAGACCTTTAAAACAATCTGGCTAATGCAATGGATTGCTAACTGCTCAAATATGATGAGCCTTGTACAGCATTCTCCACTTACAGCAGACACCTTTTCCGTAAGACTTTGGAGTTGATTTGCTAAATGAAAATAGACTGTTCACTTTACAATTGCAGTTGCAAATTTGATTTGTGGCTGAATTGTAGATCAGAGATAGGCTTATGATCTATCTAAGAGGTCAGCGGTGGTATCAGAGGATGTAGCTAAATGATCAGGTCAGGAATCCTCATAAGGGGCCAGAGGCAGTGACAAGGATCACATCAGGTTATCAAACATCCATGGGGTCAAACCAGACTATAATATGAGACATGGAGTCAGGACAGTCTAGGGTCAAGGCAAGTATCACAGGCTAGGCCTACAATGAGCATTTACTAAAGCCTAAAACAGGAAAACTGAACAGTGTTACAGGTGTAGAGTACATTGATACCAGAATTTTATAAGACCTAGAAGCTAACTACTGGGCAACATTGAAGAACAGCACAATGTGTACATATTTAAGCACATGTCGGCTGAGGTGCTACTCACCATGACCCAAAGACCACAAAATGTGCACCCACAAGAGTGTGGCAATGGGAAGACACTAGGAAAATAACTAATGTGATCATTTCCGAATAGATATGATGTGTGAAGAAAGAGATGAGGTGAGATTGTGTAGTACACAATTTTTCCCTTTACCTTGTTGGCACGCAATGCACACTGCATTAAACTTATAACGCTTCCCACTTCTCGCAGAATCTTCTTGCTGTTAATATCTGCTCGCCAGGACAAATTCCTTAGTATGCTTGATGCCACCTGTAATAGACACACAATTGACACTGTAGGCCTTCAAATTGATCTAATACCTTAGAAGATAATTCATATAGAAGACACCTTCTTACCTGCTGAAGTTCTTCACTTTCTGAAGCCAAATGAGCAACAATTGCCTGCATGCAGCCTCGCCGAGAGCATAGTGTGGCCTGTGAGAAGACGAAGGTTGGTAAATACAACTGTTTTCAAAATTTCGTGTGAACTCTTTAACTCTTTAACATATGCTGATGAACTAGGATAACAGATTATCCAAATACATAGCCTTTTTTAATGTTAAATAGCAATGCACAAACATAATGGAAAAATAGAAAAACAAGTTTCAAAGGGTTTGCCTCTCACATGAAATATAATTTTTCACTTGAATTAGTTGCCAGTAATCCCTTAACATGTCTTTTCTTTGTAAATATGGGTGCCCATTTTTACTTGGATCAGTATCTGAGATTTCAATTTTTACCAATTATGACAGCAATAATTTATCTTGGAGATAAAATTAATTTATATTTTTATAGCCTAGGTACAATCTCCACAGAACAGTGAGGGCATTTTTTTAGGTTAAACATAGTTTGGCGATATATATTGGTATGGTAACTCTACCATGGAAAAAGAGCCCTTACTGGAATCTATAGCTGAGCAGGGGATAAAATGTGATGTTGCAGACTGTACATGATACCTGCTAGTGAAAAAAGTATAATGTAAGAAACCAAAGTATTCTGTAAGCAGCAATGGCCATCATTTACTAATGGTCAGTAAATTGAAACCTGAAACTTTCATATATGAGGCTAGCAGTTGGATAAGAGGATCAGCAAGAAACAATCATTATTATTAAAGTACTAACAACAACTTACAAAGCTATCCACAACTCAGCCCCCAGCTATATCACCAACCTGGTCTCAAAATATCAACCAAACCACTCTTTTTGGTCCTCCCAAGACCTCCTGCTATCTAGTTCCTGTGTCACCTCCTCCCATGCTTGCCTCCAGGACCTTTCCCGAGCTTCTCCCATCCTATGGAACTCCCTACCCCAATCTGTCCGACTATCTCCTAATCTATCCACCTTTAGACGATCCCTGAAAACCCTTCTCTTTAAGGAAGCCTATCCTGCTTTTAACTAATGCACTGTGTTTTTACTTTCTCAATCAGCTCATTCCCCACAGCTATTCCCCTTTGTATCACTTGATCCCCCCGCCTCTTAGATTGTAAGCTCTAACAAGCAGGGCCCTCTGATTCCTCTTGTACCAAATTGTATTTGTAACTGTAATGTCTGCCTTCATTTTGTAAAGCGCTCTATAAATCCTGTATAATAATAAATCTCGTAAAATAATTATGCAGAACTTCTAAGGTGGAAGCAGATGCCACATACTGTAAGTTATGGGTTTATTTGGCTTCCCCCATGTAGATACATAAGTATTTTTTAATATATACTATATTATACTAAATGATCTTTCCATTTTATATACAAAACAAATAAATAACAGTATAAGAGTACTACTAATATCACGTCCAAGTTAAGCATTCATCTTATGTAACTGAACTGAACAAACTGAACGATAAGCACCAATCTTTTTGGAGCTTTCCAATACTGTTACAGTATTTGCACTGGATTATTATTTCTTTAAGAAAATATTTCAAGCATCTTTGCCTGCTTCTGAGAGATAACAACCAAGCCTAGTGGGTATTCGAACTGGTATCCCCATTCCTCAGATGTCATGAGCGTGCAAGTTTGCTTGCTACACCATATGATATGCCTGGATATGTCTCGAGAGAGGTGGAACATTTTAAGTGGTAATACCTTTTCCCAAGGCTGCTCCAGGTAAAAAAGATGAAGCAATGGTAAAGCTGAACTCAGTGCTGGAAAAAATGCTATCCCTGCCGTGAGCCCCCTCCATATATCAAGAGTGAATGCTCGCTCCTTCTGTGGGATAGGTATAAGCATGATTCTTCCATTATTCCTTGCTTCCCCAGGCAGCCGGTGCTCTCCTCTACTCTCTATTACTCCCAGGATGTACATGGGCCCTCAGCAACCGCATGTACAAAGAGGCAGCAAAGAGGAGTGGCCTTGGGGCTTGGTTTTACAAAGAGGAAAAAGCCTGCAGATGTGTGGAATAAGGTATTTCACCTTATTGCTATCTACATAGACAAAATAAGCATAAAAAGTAATGAGCAAACAGTAACTTTTCATAATTAAAGTCTAACTCCAGTTCAATTATTTTAATTAAACATAAAACAAACAAACAAAAAAAATTTCTCCCTACAATACACTAGCACCTGAACACTTCTGGATTAAATGACGGCCAAAGTCATTTAACCCACAAACTCTCTGGTTCTGTGAGTTCACAATTCCTTGGACTCACAGGCAAATGCTGGCATTATATCAGTGTAGCTCTCTGCATCGCTTAGGACCAGAGGTGGACTGACCATTCAGGCACTCGGGCACTGTCCGAGGGCCCGGGGTCAATAGGGGGCCCCATGAGATGCCCCTGGTACCTTTCATAGACTTTTTGGGTGTGGTTTGAATGTGGCCGAGGGCACAGGGGCCCCAAGATCCCCTATTGCCCAGGGGCCCCATGAGTTGTCAGTCCGCCCGTGCTTAGGACCCTCCGACACTGGACTAAAACAGATTAGAAAAAGGGCTGTGCCTGTCACGTGACTATCCAAAATACACCTAGAAAAGAGGTGTATAACAGAGCAAAGGTGGCTGCCAGGGGGACTGTCTACCCAAGCTGGATTTGGAGTTTAAGGAGAATAATTTCTGGATTTTAGCACACAGATGAAAATGTTGCATGTTAACCCCTTCACGCCTAAGGGTAAAACAAATCTAAATGCCTAAGCACAATTCTGCAACGTTGACGTGTTAGTAAAACCGTACATATCGTCACAACTACTTTGTACATCCAGGTGGATTATACCTTGTTTTTTTCAGGACAAATTGGGCTTTCATTTGGTGGTAAATGGTCATGGATAGCTCCTAATTTTTTTTTATTATTAAAGGAAAACTGGGCCAAAATAGTAAAAAAAATCATTTTTTTAAATTTAACTGTGTGTTTCTTGTTACGACCATAACCTACCACCAAAGAACAACTCAAAATACATTCTCCAGTTCTTGACGATCGCAGCGATACCATATATGTGTATGTTATTTGTTGTTTGTACCCGTAGTACAGTCCAGAAACAACAGTGCGCATTTTGTTTTTGTCTTTTTTTTTTTTATATAAAACACACTGTCACTGACATTGACATTAACACTAACTGACACTGATACCATTTTTTTTTTTTAAATCCTGACCTTTGACCCTGACCTTTGCCCTTGACCTTTGACCCTGACCTTTGACCCTGACCTTTGACCCAAACACTAACCCTGGTACTGAACTAGATCAAACCTTGATCTAGGTATTTTTCTTTATTTTTTCTTTTATTTTTTAATATTTATTTATTTTTTTTTTTTTTTTACAAACTTTTTTTTTCTCTCTCTGTGTCAGGAGTTCGAGAGATACAATGTATCTCTCTTCTCCATTCATAGAGAGAGAGAAAACAAGGGGGCCGGGCTGCACAGTGATTGATCACTGTGATAGCCAATCAGAGGCTATCACAGCGATCACGTGACCCGGAATCGGGAGTCCCGGGTCCCGATCGTTAGATCGTTAGAACGGGACCCGGGGCTCTCAGTGACACCGCGGTCTTGGTGCTGGGAGCGCGCCGAGCGGCGCGCTCCCAGCACAAAGACAGGTACGCAAATATGCGGCCCCACGGAAAAAAGCCCAGGTCCGTGAGGCCGCATATTTGTGTTACGTCGGCGTCAAGGGGTTAACATGTGTAAACATTTCCCTCTTTGAGTAATCAAATTATTTTATTAAACAATAAGATTCATACAAAATCATACTGCTAAATTAGATACTTTATGTATGATACATGTGTTTTGAAAATTAACAATAATACAAGGGAATAATTTCTGAATTTTAGTACACAGCTGAAAATGTTACATGTTAACATGTTTAAACATTTCCCTCTTTGAGGAATCAAATTATATTACTAAACAATAAAATTCATACAAAAATCATACTGCTAAATTAGATACTTTATGTATGATACATGTGTTTTGTAAATCAAGGCCAATGATCAGACTTGAAGCACAGCAAGGAACACAACTGTCATTATTTTGTATACATCAGGGGTATCCAACTTTTTGACTTTCCTGGGTCACATGTGAATAAGAGGAATTGTCTTGGGCCACACATAAAATACACTAACAATAATGATAGGTGATGAGCAGAAAAAGTCAGGCAGATCACAATTTAACTCCTTCACTCTGGCGCCTCCCAGCCCTTAATGGGTTTCTGATGCCGGGAGGCGGGGTTTAGGTTCATGTGACCACCGTGATTGGCTGTCACTGCAGTCACATGATTGGAAATGTCCTGATCGCAAGGAGAGATTGGGACCTTTTCATGGGATGCCGACACATGTGGTGGGATTGCGCAGGGCGAGCGCTCTCAGCACGTTTGTTTACAAATGGTACGCAAATATGTGGCCGTTTAGCATCAAGGCCCGGCTGCCGAGAGGCCGCATATATGCGTATGCTCAGCGTGAAGAGGTTAACAATCACTGATACAGATAATGTAAAAAATCTAAAACTTAATTTTTTAAGTAATATTTTTATTATACTGGCAAAAGAGAGCTACTTAAAACTAATGTGAGATTTGGCGCTGTTTTTGATAAACACATCAATATCTCAATCCGTGCTCATCAGATATTTTGGTTCTAATTATGCGTTTCGCATGCTTCATCCTCAAAAATAATTGCTCAAAAATATAGGTGCTGCCAAAAACCCATGACATGAATAAGGCATTACTGTGAAGAGTGGAATATTTTTCTTTGGGAAGATAAAACTTATGAAAGTCCAAGTAACACTGTCAAATTTTTCTTCAGCCACATGTGTTCACTAAGTGTAAATGTATGTTTACAAAAAATAAAAAAAAATCAACATTTAAGTAAGTAAGTTTACAATTTTGTGTTGGGCCGCATTCATAGCAGTTTAGGGCCGCATGCTGCCCATGGGCGGCAGATTGGACACCCCTGTCATAAAAAGAGGAAAGTTGTGAAATTTGAAATTGAAAACACATACATCTGCACCTTTTGTAAAATTAAGATCCATTTGACTCTATTTTACTGTAGGTCTATGTACAAGAAGTTTACTATACCCTCAGTGTTGCTATAAATAATGCATATAATGCATGCTGCATTCAAGAAAAAAAAGTTTTACATATAATAAATTACATCCATAAAAGAATAAACACTGCTATAGTGGTCAAAGCAGTTCAGATTGCTATGGTTCAGTCGTGCATAAAAACAAAAATATCCGCTTTGCCTCACAAAAATAAATATGGCTTCCAGATTTTATTTGTTGTACATATTACATAAAAGGAAGACTCTGATTGGTTGCGAAAGGGCAACAAGGGGTTGTCATTGACATATTTATAAATGAGTTCTAAAATAATGTTAATTCTACTTTAAAAATATTATCTAATTCTCACCTTGTTCACCACATCCCCAAAAGTGAGGTTAGTAAGGGCCATTCCTGCATATCGTCTTAGAGCCAGGCTGAGTGGATCACTGGTCATTCTGTGCATCTGGTAGTCTACCTCTAAGAGCTCTGCAATTGCCTGTAGACCACCTATGAAAAGCACCAGACACACAGATTCCTCATGCAGAACTGCTTAAAGCTATATTAGGTGTTTTTTATGGTTTAGATGAGAGGGATATGGAAATGGGAAGGATGATGTTATTTGCAGGACAAGTTTCCTGCTATACTTCACAGTGGGATTATAATTGCTGCTTGTACATTAAAGCTGAACTCCAAACAAACCATTAAACACACAGGTAAAATATATATGCATACTGTTTTAACTGTCATTGTAAATTTGTGTGCAGATAGTTTTGTAACCCAGTTACCTTTGCCAGACAGCATGACCAGATCAGTGAACTCACATTTTTCTGCTGCTGTTAAGCACCAGCCTGTCCCCGGCCTGTGACTGGAGAACGAAGGAAGAAGCATCATATTGGTCATCACATTATTCTCTCCTTCTGTAGGTGTATTTAAAGTATTGTCTGACAGAATCGGAAAAAAGAGTAGAGCCCAGACTGACTCAGAATGTTCCCATCTCATTCCTGCTCAGGTTAATGCAAGGATAGATTAAAATGTGAGTTTTCCAACTTTCTCACACCTTACCTGGCCATGTAGTAGACAGGTAAAAGCAGCCTCAGCTCAGTCCATCAAGGCCATGCCCCCAAAACATTTTACCCCCGCCCATGGTTAAGCCCTGGGGCGGGGCTAATGGCCTTGGTGCACTGATCTAAGGCTGCTTTTACCTGTCTACCACATGGCTGGGTGTAGTGTGCAGCAGTCAGGAAACCTCTCATTTTTCTTGCATGCTTTGGGTCTGGACGAACCTATCCCCAGCCTACACTATCACTGTTTCAACCGCATCCGTCCTACAGGATGCCAACAGCCTGATCAGGGATCTCCAAGCAATAATCTAGCGTCATAGAATAGATTACAGTTATAAATGCTAGTTGTATATAATATCCTTTTTTTAACCACTTGACAACCATCCACAGTACTTTTACTGTGGGCAGGTGGCACAGATCATGTAAATGTACGTCTGCTCCAGGTTAGGGGTGCGCAGTGCACCCCTCCCACTGGACACAGCGGAATGTGGATCCCAGTACTTTGGGGCCTGGAGATTATGTGATCACAGTGTCAACAAACCAGTTATGAAAGAACAGCTGTACCTGGGCCAATCACAGCACACTGTACCATGTAGCCAATTAGCTGTAGCCAATAACAGATCACTAGTGATCACAGCTGTCATGAATGTAACACATTCATGACAGATGAAAACTTTGCTGTTACAATGATCTTCATAGTAACAGCAAACAAAGTGGTAAAAATAAAACTTTCTGATCACCCCCTCGGGCGTCATATGACGTCCTCCCAGAACGCGCCCTCCCGTATGCCCCCGGGGGCACGCACCTGGCGATCTACGTGATCGCTGTGTCCAATGGACACAGTTTGATCACGTGATGTGGTAAAAGGCCAATCACAGTGACCTTTTACCACTTGATCAGCCATGTCCAATGACACAGCAGATCACCGGTAAATGCAGTTGATGGTTATCGGCTGCACTTTCCATACGCTGTCACGCCAATAACGGGCAACTGTCAGAGGATGGATCGGCAGCGATCATCAGGGCGCTGATGATCAGTGCCCTGATGATCAGTGCCCAGCAATGCCACCCACCAGTGCTGCCCACCTGTGCCGCCCACAAGTGCCCAGCAGTGCCTTCCACCTGTGCCTATCAGTGCCCAGCAGTGCCATCTATCAGTGCCATCAGCCATCAGTGCCCAGCAGTGCCAGCCATCAGTGCTCAGCAGTGCCACCCATCAGTGCCGCCCATCAGTGCTGCCCAATAAAAACAAAGAAAAAACATTTTTTTGTTTAAAAATTTTTGCTCTTTTTTTGTTTATAGCTCAAAAAATAAAACACCCAGCAGTGAGTATATATCACCAAAAGACAGCTCTATTTGTGTGAAAAAAAATTATAAAAATTTCTTATGGGTACAATGTTCAATGACCGTGCAATTGTCATTCAAAATGCAACAGCACTGAAAGCTGAAAATTGGCCTGGGCAGGAAGGGGGTATAAGTGCCCAGTAGGCAAGTGGTTAACATACTCTCACCAACCAGTATTACTGTTCATCGCCACACCAGTCATATTATGACGCTGTACTGCACTGGTGACAGTATATTAAAAAAAATTGTGATTAAAAAAACAATTGTATTCAATTATCAATTTCTAAACATCTCATACTCTCTACTATCCAAAAGAGGGTCATTTGGGGGGTATTTTTACTGTTCTGGCATTTTAGGGCCAGTATAGAATCTGAACTGATCAATTTTCAAATATATACCATAGTTTATAGATGCTATAACTTTCACACAAACTAAATAATATACACTTATTGAGATTTTGTTTTACCAAAGACAAGTAGCAGAATACATGCCCTAAATTTATGATGCTAATTGATTTGATTGGATATGTTTTATAAGATATAAGTAAGGATATAAGGATATGTTTTAGTAGAAAATATTGTTTTTTTTCTTTTTCAAAATTTTCAGTCTTCTATTTATATCGCAAAAAAAAAACCCAGTGGTGATCATATACCACCAAAACAAATCTCTAGTTGTGTGAAAAAGATGTCTTTTATGTACAGTATTGCATAACTGCACAATTGCTAGTTAAAGTAGGGCAGTGCCAAATAGCAAAAAGTGCCCTGGTTATTAAGGTGGTAAAATCTTCCAGAGCTCAAGTGGTTAATTAAAACATAACTAGATTTAATGCTTTTTAACCTGTCTGGAGTCCAGCTTTATTTAATTTTTCCAGTAAGTTGCTTTGTAAGCTTGAACAACAATAAATACATTATACGTGTTTTACCTAGCTCATTCATTGCTCTTCTGTATTCCTCATCAAATGATAGTTTCATAATGGCGCAGCTTGCTTGGCAGATTTGTGGTTCCACAGGCACAGGAGCTGAAATGATGTCAATTTGAAACTAAACTTAAAAAATAAACTAAACTTAATAAATAAATATAAGACACATTTACAACTCTCTCATTTTATTGGCATGTCAACAAGTCAGGGAAACAGACAGTTAATAGTACATTTGTTTTCATGTGTTTATGTCTTGTCACAGTTCTTTGCTTTATGAATCTGTTGACCATTTTTAACAAGATGTCTTCTACTAACTAGAAAACGCTTCTCCTTGTGCCCCTCTGATACCAGTTTCACTTTATCACTAACTTCAGGGCTAAGGAATGCCAACTGACATCCTCATGATCACTGAGAGTGTCACCACTAGACATAGATTTAGCAGTTTTTGGTCCTTAGCTAAGATGTTTGGTACCAGTAACACAGCAGACTTGTTACAAAAAAGCATATAGGAAGGTTTTATAACCGAAAAAGGTCATAAAACAGCAGATATTTTGCAAGAATGTTCTTGAACAGTGCTTTTAGCTTTAAATGTTTAGCATAACTGACATACAATGGGGATCGAAAGTTTGGGCACCCCAGCTAAAAATTTGTATTAATGTGCATAAAGAAGCCAAGGAAAGATGGAAAAATCTCCAAAAGGCATCAAATTACAGATTAGACATTCTTATAATATGTCAACAAAAGTTAGATTTTATTTCCATCATTTACACTTTCAAAATAACAGAAAACAAAAAAATGGCGTCTGCAAAAGTTTGGGCACCCTGCAGAGTTAATATCTTGTACTGCCCCCTTTGGCAAGTATCACAGCTTGTAAACGCTTTTTGTAGCCAGCCAAGAGTCTTTCAGTTCTTGTTTGAGGTATCTTTGCTCATTCTTCCTTACAAAAGTCTTCCAGTTCTTTGAGATTTCTGGGCTGTCTGTCACGCACTGCTCTTTTAAGGTCTATCCATAGATTATCAATTATGTTGAGGTCAGGGGATTGTGAAGGCCATGGCAAAACCTTCAGTTTACGCCTCTTGATGTAATCCCCCGTGGATTTCGAGATGTGTTTAGGATCATTATCCATTTGTAGAAGCCATCCTCTCTTTAACTTCAGCTTTTTTCACAGATGGCATCAAGTTACCATCCAAAATTTGCTGAAATTTTATTGAATCCATTTTTCCTTCTACTCGTGAGATGTTCCCTGTGCCACTGGCTGCAACACAACCCCAAAGCATGATTGATCCAACCCCATGCTTAACAGTTGGACAGAGGTTCTTTTCATTACATTCTGTGCCCCTTCTTCTCCAAACGTACCTTTGCTCATTCCGGCCAAAAAGTTAAATTTTAACCTCATCGGTCCACAGAACTTGTTTCCAAAATGCATCAGGCTTGTCTAAATGTTCATTTGCAAAGTTCAAACAATGATTTTTGTGGTGAGGACGTAGAAGAGGTTTTTCTTCTGATGACTCTTCCATGAAGACCATATTTGTACAAGTATCTCTTTATAGTGGAATAGTGTACCACAACTCCAGTGTCTGCCAGATCTTTCTGGAGGGATCGTGCAGTCAAACGTGGGTTTTGAATTGTTTTTTTCTCACAATCCTGCGAGCTGTTCTGTCTTTTATTTTTCTTGGTCTTCCAGATCTTGCTTTAACTTCCACTGTTCCTGATGACTGCCATTTCTTTAAATTAACATTCCGAACAGAGGATATTGACATCTGAAAACGCTTTGCTATCTTCTTATAGCCTTCTCCAGCTTTGTGAGCGTCAACTAATTTCAGTTTTCTAGACAACTGCTTAGAAGAACCCATGGTGCTGATTGTTGGGGCAAGGTCAGATGAGTCTGTGCATTTAAAACCTTTGAGATTGACATCACCTGGTCTTCCCAGACGATGATTGAGAACAATCCATGACACTGGCAGGTCTCAGCTTGGCAAAGGGGGCAGTGCATGCTATAAATTCTGCAGGGTGCCCAAACTTTTGCAGACGCCATTTTTTTGTTTTCTGTTATTTTGAAAGTGTAAATGATGGAAATAAAATCTAAATTTTGTTGACATATTATAAAAATGTCTAATCTGTAATTTGATGCCTTTTGGAGATTTTTCCATCTTTCCTTGGCTTCTTTATGCACATTAATACAAATTTTTAGCTGGGGTGCCCAAACTTTCGATCCCCACTGTACTGTTTTACTATTTGCTTTAGATAAATATGACTATAATAATAAGATCTTAAAGTTTCCATGATGACATGGCGAGTATTCATTTATGTTCGAGAAGTCTCTATACTGGCCAACTCATGCTTACTCTACATCGATTTTTTACTAACACTTTCAGTATGCAGCAGAGCTGTGGTTTATCAAGATCAGGGAGGTGAGAGTGGTCCTCTACAAAAGAAGGTAATAAAGTAGTGCATTGTCCTTAGAGAATGACAATTCAGCTGGTCTGAAGGTAGCTCTAGATGAACTTATCAACCTTCCAAAGGTGTCTGAAAAGTTCTGGTGCTGACATCAATTGGCAGAGCCAGTGTTAGCAAAATGGGATCTGTAGAGAACCTCCTCTCTCAGGTAAGTAAAACTGATATTAATAATGTCTTTTACTAAACTCCCACTGACAACCAATGGAAGGGGCACTCTGCCACTGATCACCAATTTAAGAGCCACTACACTGACCACAAATAAAGAGAGGCACTATGTTGAACACCAATGTACAAGGCCATTTCTTCAATTGATCACTAATATAAGAGGGCACTACAATTTGTCATACAAAGGAGGAATTAATAAAAATGTATCTGCCCGACATGTTAAATACATGAAGTATGCAACTTGGCACAGCCTCCTAATTCTCTCAGGTAGTTATACATGGTGTAGTTTTTATTTTTTTGTGGCATTACAGTTAACATTTCTCAAGAAAGGTGCAATCCAGTACATGGTATACTGTACCTCTGTGTTTAGATTTTTTCAGTTTTGCATTAATAGGTAATTTTACACATCAGTAAGAATCTTGGAAGCATTATATTATGCTATTTTCAATTAAAGATTTTGAGCTAAAGAATATTTGAATTTGACGTTTGCTTTGGATATTGTCAAACTGAGTCTATCCAAAACTCACCCTGGCTCTGTTAAGATTGATGGCACAACTAACAGTCCATCCCCACATGCCAGGATGTTATGTGAAATTCTGAACTCTCCTTTGGGCCTCACATCCAATCACTTTACAAATCTCGCCACCTCAATCTCTGTAATATCTCCAAAATACACCCCTTCTTAACCAACGACACCACAAAGCATCTAATTCACTCCCTTTCATCTCTCACCTTGACTATTGTAACTTCCTTCCCATTGGATTACCTTTATATGGGCTATCTCCCCTTCATTCCATCATCAATACTGTTTACAGACTCATCTACCTTACCAACTGTTCCGTGTGTGCTACACCTTCCTGCCAATACCTCCATTGGCTTCCATTCACCCAACAAATAAAACTCAAAATGCTAACAACAACCTACATAGCCATCCACAACTCTGCCCTTAGCTACATCACTAACCTAGTCTCAAAGTACCAACCAACACATTCTCCTCACTTCTTGCCAGACCTCCTGCTCTTTAGCTCCCTTGTCAGCAAATCCCATGCTCACCTCTAGGACTTGTCCAGAGCCTCCCCCATTCTCTGGAAATCCTTACCCAAATCTGTCTAACTATCTTCTACTCCATCCTTCTTTAGGGAATCCCTGAAAACCTATCCTGCCTTTAACTAATAAACTGAACTTTTACTTTTTCCATTAGCTCATCCACCACAGTTATTACTTTTTGTATCCCATGACCGTTCCTTATAGATTGTAAGCTTTTAAAGAACAGGGCCCTCTGATTCCTTTTGTATTGAATCATAATGTAACTGTACTGTCTACCTCAATTTTGTAATGCTCTGTGCAAACTGTTGGTGCAATATAAATCCTATATAATAATAATAGCATAATGTTTGCTACTATGTTTCTGTTATCTTACATACGTAACGCATTCAGTTAATGCTAAACTCTTATGAAGGGTTGTACACAGCTTAAAGGTATTGCGAAGTACCTGGGCTACTCTCTAGCGCACCATCTTTCTGCTCATGACATAGCATCCAGTCCCAACACGTTTCAGTATAGGAACGAATCTGTTCAAGAATATGGAGAACCCTCATCTCCTTCTTGGCCTGTCCTTCATCAGGTTGAGAGAAGATCACATTATGGAGTGCAGCATTGGCTCTCATCCTTGCATCTTTGAAATTCTGAGAGTCCTTTGCTCTTCCATCCTGTTCTGTTTCATGCAGGATCTGGAGTAGCAGAGGAAGGCAGCCCGATCTTCGCATGGCTTGGCAACTCTCTTGTGAGCTGGACATGGCCAACAAAGTGCGTGACATGTCATCCTTATCACGTGTGGCCAGCATTGACAAAAGCCAGAACACCACCTCTACCTATGATAAAAAAAGTCAAGGACAATCAGTTGTAACTTAGCCTGTGCAGCTGGTTTACATTTCATTTCTACAACTACACATTTTATAAATAAATCATTTCCACTTGTACCTTATTTTCTGGCTGCCCTGAGTTGTCTTCTGGTTGTGTAATATTCTCTGGAACTGGTCTGTCCACAGACTCAAGATTTGCACAGGGCTGCGGGAATAGAGCATAATATGCTTTGTTAATATGTGGTTATACAACCATTTTGTTCACAAATTGATCTTGGGAATTGGCAGGTTTTGTCTTTTTAGTCCAATTGTGGCTTTTCAGTTGGCATGAATACTTTCATGGAAATCTGTGAGGATTGTGAAGAATCACACAATTCACGAATTAAGGCAATTAGGATACCTGTTTCTTTGCAGATTGGACAAATCTGCTTAAAAGTTTTCACACTACAAAAGTAGGCTTGTGCAAAAAGTGTATGCAGGTGTCCATTGCTGACTAATCCTTTTGAAAAAGCTAACTTCTTGGCTGTCATGGCGATTCAAATGCTTAGAGTAATTTTAAAGAGAAATACTATTTCTTTAATTTTGGATTCAATGCAGATGTACTTAAATCCCTCTATCATTTAATTGCTGTCTTTTATACATCCTGGGGAGATTCTCTATCTATATACAGTATATACCCTAGTAACTATTGTCACCAGAACAGAAAGTAACAGGATATTCACAATTTAAAGGTTGATAAGGAAATGAGGGGAAATCTTCACTGTCTAAGAAAATATTTACCCCAACTTTAGAGAGATTGTCTCTCATTTGTCTCATCTGTTATGTCAGTAAAGGAAATTAAGAGGAATCTCTTCAGTGGGACACAAACCGCAAAAAAAACCCCCCAAAACTCCTTGTGTTCTTGGAGATGCCCAGGTAAGATGTGTTTCTCTGCTTCTCTCCCTTAACAGCTTAGAGAAGCCACACCTGATGAAGCAGACGTAGTTGGGAAAGCAATCTGCAGCCAGGTGAGCAGTCATCCACTGTCAGAAACAGCAAGTAGGAAGACGGGTAGGAGTTTACTAACACAAAGCTTCTCTGAAAGTCCCAGCTACTGTGCAGAACACCTCCCCAATTTCTACCAGAATACTCTAGTTCCAGTGGGTTGGCCTGCCTGCGTCCACAAGAATGGGATTCCTCCAGCTGTTTAACTGTGTTACCAGAGCTACCCTGAACTTCACTAAGAGGGGTGTTGTTATATGAGGATAAAGGAAAGTAACTGTATTTTGAACTGTTTTACAAAAGAAGTGATTCTCAGGTGAGCAGTGTATAATTTGTGCAGAGGCAAGTGGTGGACAAGGGATACAGAAATAATCTGTGAATGAGACATGCAAAAGTGAGCTGTGCCTAGTCAGAAGGAGGGGGGGGGGGGTGAACTATGGTGCATAGGCAAATGGGAACTAAGCTGTGGACGAAGAGTGCAGAGGTGAGCTGTGGAAAAAGGTGCAGAGGCAGGCAGTATAACAGTGGTGCCGAAGTTGTTAAGAAAATTCTGGTGGATTATTACTACACCTACTGACACCAATGCTGGGAGTTGTTACTGTACCAACTGACACTAATGATGAGGGTTGATATTGCATCCGATGACAATATCAACAAGTATTATATCAATAAGTAATATCAATAAGTAAATATAAATAATTATTATTAAGTAATATCAATAAGTATTGACAATGTCAAAGCACCTTCTAAAATTATGGACAGTCCTGAGGCACCCTTTAAAATTTTGGACAGTCTTGAGGCACTCCATTCTAAAATGTAAAAAACTAGTCTAATAATTTTACATACCGCAGCAATATCCACACATTCTTCTTATCAACTGATGATGTCATTGGTTGTCAGGATGTGGGCGGCTAGAAGATTGTAATGATGCGCAATGAAAATGTGTGACTTTGTGTAACTAAAAGGCAGGCTTTTAGACATGTTGCCATGGCACCCCTGAAGAAACCTCAAGGCACCCCAGGGTGCCTGGGCACCCTGGTTGAAAAAGGCTGTCTTACACAATATCTTATCTTCATCGTACCCCAGTCCCCATTTTGTCTAAAACATAGCAAAGCAAAGGGGTAAAGTTGCCACCCTACAAGCCAAAGAGTATGAAGTGATAACCCGTTTGTTGACCATGCCCACTTTTTGGCCATGCTTGCCTCCGCTCGCCTTTTTTTCTCCTCTATCCCTTTAAGATGTCTCTTCAAATGATTTTCGAATGCTGGGAAGTATGCATGCTACAGAATAGCTTTATGTTCTGTGATTGCACCAATATGCTGAAATGTTTTTTGGTGTAAAATAGCTTTTAGTCATTATCAGTTGGTGCTTAAAAATAACATTGTGCCTGGCAAATTTAAATAGGAGTAAATGGGCAAAGGACATAAAAGTATCTTATACCAATAACTCCATTTTATTTATGTATGCATGTTAAATTATATCAGAACTAGTGAATTCATTTGAAAAAAGAAATGTTTTACCTCGATAGTTTGTTCGACTTGCATTTTTCTTCCAGCTGTTGCTCAATCTGCTCCATACGGGAAGCCCGAATCTAACAGAACAGAACAAAGTTGAAATTGTGAACCTACCAATGGAAGGGTTGTCACTGAGACAAAAAGTGGAAGAAATCCCACATTTTTCAATTGACACCAAAACAGAAGCCATTGGTTTCCAGAAAAAGAATCCAACATATGCTACTAGGAGTAACACCTTTCCTATGGTGTATATTTTGAACACTTTTTCCATTACCAAGTTTAACCAGAACACATTTTTGTCTTTTCTTGCATATGCAATTCCTTTTTTTCATTAAAGTCCAACAAATTATTGTGTATTATTAAGTGTTCTTGCATGGCAAGACCACTTACTGTTATCTCACATATATATTCTTATTATTATAGCCAAATTTACCACCCTAACTCCTCCCACAGTTTTTACACTGCATAGACAGTAATATACTGAAACGTGCGGATTGTTCCCGATTGGTGTGCTATTACTTTGTGGAACATTTCGCCGAATGGTTCATGAAATATCGGCGTTTTTGTGGTGAAATTGGTCCCATAAGAATGAATGGCGGAATGTTCAAAACTAGAGTGGGAGCTGACAAAAGCTAGAGTGGGAGCTGAAAAATCAGGACATGATTTCTAAACTGCCATCACTCCCTCATTTTCAAACCCACCTACACAAATCTTATATCAAAACGTTCAGCTATCCCTGCTGCCACTAAAAATGTCCATGGCTGAGCCATAGTCCTGATAGCTTTCACAATATGACCATTTGTTTGCAACTCACGCCGCCCATTGACATTAATTGAAACTCCCCTCTAGCCACCTCAAATTTGAAGGGCAATTTCTAAACTGTGACTGTGCCTTAATTTTTAATATTTCAGAGACATACTATGCATCAAAATGTAGGTCTGGGTCTTGTGATTCTCACAATATAAAGCTCTTCGGTGTAGGATTTATAATTTTTTAACTACAACCGTTTGAAGATGGCAACCGCCAGTGAAGTGAGCAAGTTGGAGCAGTTTGTTTTTAACCGCTCTTCTCTGCCCTTGCTGTAGAGTGAGTTGCCATAGGAACCCAGGTGTGTGAGCAGGCAGCAGAGTGACAAGCCACTCCACCCAGTTACTCTGCCAACTCCACCCAGTTACTCTCCACTGGTGGAGGCAAGAACACTTCACACAATTTCCCCAGAAATTGTAGCTTTTCTAGTTATTATTGTGACAACATAGTTGTCAAGTAGGTCTGTGTACATTGAGAGAAAACATAAAAGTACCCATAGAAAATGTAAAGTATTGTTACATTAATGCTATAAAATGGATTATTGATCATCAAGGTTCAAACATTTAGTTTCTATAGGTTAGTGCTATGCTATCTAAAATATATTCTACACTGTACACTATACACTGCAAGAGCAGGCACATGTATGTAGTATATGTTGCCTTGTTGCAGTAAACCTGTACTTTGCCCAAAGTAAGGGGTTTGCTTTTACAGAAGGGGCCATACAAAGACAGTACATCCAGGAACCGATGTACTAAAAATTTGTGCAGCATCTGGTAGTCAACTGACAGGCCAAGTGCTGTCATGTGAGGGAACATGCACAGACCTGCATAAATTTGGACCTGCTCAGAAGGTTGAAATTCATGCAGGAATCTTGGGCGGTCAGACAGCAAATCATGACAGCAGGCTAGTCTGGGGAAGTTAAGTCCAGATTGTTTATGGTCCCTACTGTGAAATGAACCTGCTTCTTTGCCTAGTAGGAGCAAAGCATAGATCAGTGGTTCTTAACCTTGTTGGAGGTACTGAACCCCACCAGTTTCATATGCGCATTCACCGAACCCTTCTTAATTGGAAAAATAAAATATAAAACATAGGTATATATTTAGGTATATATTTATACATAGGTGCACAAAATGAACAAAACCATTAAGAACAAAGAACAAAACCATTAAAACATGATTTTTTCACACAAAAACATAATAATGAATATTTACTGCACGAATCATATGAGTCGGGTGTGGGTCTTCACCTCCGCCGAACCCGCGAGACTGACTCACCGAACCCCTGGGGTTCGATCGAACCCAGGTTAAGAACCACTGGCATAGATGCTTTAATATGATAATATCGTCATACTAAAAATGTTTTAATTGTCAGAACATTTCCTTTTCTGTCAAATGTATTTCTAGGGAAACCTCAGTTATTTGTAGGTGTTGGCATTTGCTAATGAGATCTCTGCATTTATAAAGTGTGCACTTTATAAATTGTCCTATTTTTATTACTAAAATACAAGTAACTTTTACAATATTATTAGGGAAGATAAACAAATATTATAATTTATTTTATATACATTCCACTTCTATTGACACTAAATACTATTTTATGAAATAACATATGTATATTTGCAAGTAAATGTAGCCCATTTTTCTATGTGTAAAATATGTAATAACAATGAATGGCTTTAACTGATCAGTCTAAATAGTACTACACTTAGTATTTGAGACGTATTAAAGAGCTTGGATTGAATGAATAGAAGATGGACTACAAACGTATTTTATTACATAATTATATGCTATATATGCATCATCATCATCTTTATTTTCAATACAATTATATTAAAAAAATAGTGAAGTACAAAAAATTGCGTAAGAAAACTTTTCGAAATAGCCAAAAGATGTTAGACAGTAGGAACATAGCTGACGAGAATGTAAAAACATCCAAATCATGCGCCATCTTTAATACTGTATCTGAAATAGATTGACTAAAGGCTCTCCTGTGTTCTCAGTTTTCCAAGTTATAATAACAAACTGTAATGGACCCCAAGAAGGCTTTGAAGTTAAAAAATCAAATCTACAATCTGAAAACCATGAAATCTCTCAGGGCATAAATATAAGTTGTGTTTTGTGTAGTTGCTTCCGTTAATGTCCTCACTTGAGTAAGATTTCTGCTTAATGCATGAAATCACATTGACATGTACTTTAAATCTGTGTGCAGAATGAATTCATCCTGGCAAATTGAGTGCATATACTGTATGATTAATATGCTGAGACAGTCTTTGTTTTCTGTATATCTTTCTGTGCACAATAAATGCCTCCAGTTTCTAGAACATTTCTTTTTGTGTTATGTAAGTCACCAGGTAAAAAGAACCCAGACACTGGCACTGGCACTAATAGTTGGTGACCTGTCAGGAAATTAGCTGTATATCACAACAGATTCCACCCACATTTCAGTCTGTCTGTATGTAACATATACGATCAGAGACTATGCACAGTATCAACTGCAAATTTTGTACCCTAGGAAGGATATCCCCTAACCATCCCAGAGTCCAGAGGACTGTCCCAAGATTTTGGCACAATCCTAGTGTCCCGACAGTGTGGACTGTCTCTCAGAGCTGAACACTGGAGCACTTGCTCCAGCACCCAGCTCCAACTCTTTGCACAAATTGTCCATTGGAGTGATCTCCTGCCTGGAAAATGTACAGTAGGTACCTAGTTCCAGCAGCAGGAGGAGGCGAAGAGAAAGCAGCAGTGCTAGACACTCTACAGTGCAAGGTAAGTGCTTTACAGTGCTTTACCCCTACAGACCATCACTAGCTTTCCCCAACATACACTGACCACCAAAGCCCACCCCCACTGAATATGATTTTTTTTCCTCCACTTGCACTAACACATTTTTTCACCAAACCGACACCAGTTAATTTTTTTCTTTTTATCACCCTACTGACACTAAGGCTGAGTTCACACTGCTGTCACTGCAGTAACACAAACATGTTGCATTAAGGCAAGCCTTGCATTCAAATAAAAAAAAAAATAGAAAACTCCTGCATTGATCATACACTAACCAATGTAAGCAGCAGCAACAATATCACAAAGTGTTAACCAACCTTGCAAAATCCTGCAAAAATAACTTTCACTGCACTACAATATATAAATGAGTCTAATATATGTGTAAATAAATCAAAACTGTTAAAGAAATCTTGCACTCTTAAACAAAAATCCTGTCTGTAAAATCAAACATCAATTAAAATAGTTTTAGTGAACTATTTCTAGTGGAGGTAGGCTTTAATCTTTTTTTCCTCAATCTCTTAATTTGGAAAAATTATTTCAGAAGACAATTGCAAAAGTACGAAGTGGTTTCTATACTGCATAAAAGTTTTGTATTTGCAGCAAACTGTAAGTTATGGTCATGCAAAATCTTATTGCCTGGCAATTTCTCACAATATCCTGGTTTGGTAGGATCTATACAATTAAGAATTCATACTTATCCAAAATTATTTATTATTTCAGAGTCCATACCTAGTCACATCTTATGAGAGCATAAGAAAATATTGAAATTCAGTTAGCACCCCAATAGACTCAGAAGAGCTAACAAAACATAATTGAAAACTTGCTGGAGGCGTAAGCATTACCAACCTTAGCAAATACTTTGTAGAAGCACAAATAGTGTTCCTAATTTCTCTTTTATGCAGCCAATGAACTGCCCTTATGGATGTACTGGAACATTGTGGAATGCACACCATTGTGCATGAATCTGCAACCTCGTTTGGCTACTTACCAGAGATACACTTTCTACTGAGGACCTGACTTTGAAATATTACCTTCTGAAATGGGACAAATGGGATTAAATTTTCTAGCAGCCTTGCTTCCCCCATTAACCTATTGTTGTTAATATTAAATTGTCCCCTCTTTTCCCCTGCCCATAAAGAACAACTGGCTTTCCACTGGTGAACTTCTAAAGGACTTAATTTGTGTATAAATTTGTCCCATTTCTATTTTTAGATACTGAAATAACAGGAGAGAATGCAATCCTATTCATATGCTTTTGGACAAGTTAAGCGTTTTTTCAAATTCACAGGAAAAAAACTAAATTCTTGTCAGAGCACCATGTAAGTCGTTTATGTATTACTTTTGGTTCTGTTTTGAGACATTACATTACATCACCTCTGAAGTTGTATTCTGTCATACGAGAATTTTTCTAACTTTAGTAACCTCTTCACAGCACTGGGACAAGGTCATCCAGGGCCCAGGGCAAAGATTCCAAACTGACTCCCCCTCCTCCCCCCCGCTCATGATGTGCAAGCTTAGGGGATCCTATGCTCAGCAGTCACTCGCTAGTCAAAATCAGTGCCATTGTTACTGTCATTACTTCTGTTGACCTTGAATCAGAAGGAAGGCTCCCCATCCCTACAGTAAACCTGCCCCTCCTGCCCAGCCCTTGTCCCAGCCCTGCCTCTTCATTTTCGATATGAGACTAGCATGCAAAAAAAAAAAAAGAACAATCAATCATACAATATTATCATCATGTGTACAAGTCTTTAGGCCTTACCTGTGCTCTTTGCATCATTTCATCTGCTGTACCAAATCTTTCTTCTAACACACAGCGCAGGTGCTGAGACTCAAACTCTAGCTGTTGGCGTATCAGGTCAATCTGCATTGAGAACTGAGACAGTACAAATGGTGATCAGAGAGAACAGACTGAGAAAAAGGTAGAGACTGTGAAAAGTAGACAGCCATTCATTTAAAATCACTTCCATGGACCCATTGTTGCTGAACTGCACATAAAAGAACCTTACATATGGCAAAACCCCTGACAACTGTGGTTCGCTACATTAGCATCACTAATTATTTATTTGTTGACCTTATATACTAATATAATTTATTAACTTTTAAATATTACAGTTTGTAGTTGTTTGCATCTTAGTAAAAAAAGCGAAACATGGGCCCGTTTTTTTAAACATTTTTGGATATAGTGGTTAAGAGTTATTGCCTCTATCAGGTTTTTTGCTTTTACATGCCCCGGACAAAGATTCTAACCCACCCCCATATTATCCAAAAAAACAATAAATATTTTGGTCAGAATTAAAAGCAGAATATCAGTGTTAAAAACCAGAGGTACTTCTAATAACAGAACAAATTCTGTGCAAGATCTTTAAAATCTTGCTTTTCCTGGGCACTAGTGAAGACCAATAGTTCTGCAGACAAGCAATGAAACAAAATAGAATAAAGAGGATTTATTATGTACATGCTATTTTTGATATACTGTTTTAAAGGTTTCCATGCATACCGTTTCGACTTGAGGCAGCTCATCCAAGCGCTTGGACAGACTTTGAAGTTGGGAGTAGTACCAGAGTTTCTCTTTTTCTTCTTTGTCAATTTCTCCCAACAATAGAGATCTGGGAAAATAAATCATTTGTGGACTGACAGACCTCTAGCAACTCTCTTCAAAATCCTGTTGAACAATTTGGTTGTTCTAGAACTATAAAGTTAAACCTTTTCTTCTATTTCTCTATTGGCCCAGAATGACTGACAAGGCCAGAAATTTCAAATATTGTTAAAGGTACATTAGATGTACAAGAGCTTTCTTCCACAACATCTACCAACAAATGTTTTTTTTTTTTAAATATCAAAACCATTATCCATAACAAATCTTTAAAGTTTAAAGTGTTTCTAAACCCACAAGGTTTTTTTTTACCTGAATGCATCCTATATATTCAGGTAAAAAAACCTTCTGTGTCACATACTCCCCCCTCATCCCCCTTTATACTTACCTGAGCCCCATCACGATCCAGCACTGTGTACGAGAGCTGCGCCTCTGCTGACTTTGTTCTCCTCTCTGGGCAGATCAATAGCAGCGGGAGCCATTAGATATTGCTCCTGTCAATCAATTCCAGTGACAAGAGAGCGGTGGGGGGCAGAACCTATTGCACCTATTGCACAGAGCAATTCTATTGCACACAGAGCAAGTAAGTATAGACATGTTTGTTATTTAAAAAAAAAAATGTTTTCCTTTACAACCACTTTAAGTTTAGTTGATTTTTTTTTTTTTTTAAATCAATACTAGAAACAGTGCTTACATTAAATGAAAAGTGTCCCTTGTGCCAGTGGCTGCTGTTTTCAATTACATTTTCATTCTTTTGCGCCCCCCCATCCTCCCCAATACCCCCACAACTGTGATCTTCTGGTGCTGCAGGGGTTAATAAGAGCCACTGGACCTGTGACAGGCACTCATCATAAGTGCAGACTATGCCCACACTTTCTGCTCCTCTTCTCAATTCATAAAAGCTGTACTACCGCTTCCTGCAAGGAAATGTTCTCTATGAATGGAGGAAATGGACATTTTATTCATCCACCCGATTTTACCTGCAGGGGTATCAGAGAGGGCAGAGGAATAAAGATTTCAATGAAAACAGCAGCCACCAGTACAAGGGACACTTCATTCAATGTAAGTACCGTCCCTGGTGCTGATTTAAATATTTTACCAAATTTAAGCTTTAATATCTTACAATTAAAAAAGTATTAAGTCAGTGCATATACATGATATAGATTCTGAAGTACAAGTACATACATTACAGTATCCTCCTGGGATTATACAACACCTTGTTTAGTTATTTATTTTACACTATTGCACAACTTAAACTGGCCATAAATAGATCAAAATTCAGCTGGTTCAGCAGGGACTTGTCAAATTTTGATCAATGTCTAATTGTGCATGTTCAACAGAATTCGATCGATAAAACAACTTCTACCAAACGGGCTTGTTTTTCTTATTCAGCTGGCTGTAGCCACTAATCAAAGTATGCTGACAGTGGAAAGTCCCACTGTGTGAATACAATGTCCCAGTAGGGAGGATTCCTCTATCTACCTTGATTGTGTGGATGGAGGACCCATGCATGGGAAGCTTTACTTTATAAAATTTTAAACATTTTCTTCCATTTCTTCTGATATTTAGTCTGCATCATCAGGAGATTTATAGGAAATAGGTCTCCCTGTGCATGCGTGGGTTTCCTCCCACACTCCAAAGACATGCTGGTAGGTGAATTGGCTCCTGTCTAAATTGTCCCTAGTATGTGTATGTATGAATGTAAATTAGGGACCTTAGATTGTACGCCCCTTCAGGGTTAGGGGCTGATGTGAATGTACAATATATATGTAAAGCACTGGGTAAATTGATGGCGCTATATAAGTACCTGAAATAAATAAATATTGTTTAAAAAAATCCCAATATTAACAGGCATATAACAATTATGTTACCAATTGTGCACTGGACTTTAACATATTCCTCATATCTATGAGGGAGAGGACAATGGGAGACACATTTTTTTTTACAGTGAGAAGCATTTCAGATCCTGAAAAGTTAGATTTTCATCTGATAGTGATGTGAACTGTGTTACTATACAGTATATGCATTCATATATGTCTGGCTTGATTAAGAAAAAACCTCTAGGATACTGTTCTTGTTGTTCTTCCTGATGAAGCAGATTGAGAATTACCCTCACTTCTCTACAAGAATCAGTTTTAAAGATTGAAAATAAGTTGTGTAATTATGCTTATAACAGCCAAGTAATGGGTTGTAAGGTCGTAGGAGGAAACTGTAGTTTATGCACTTTCGAATGGTAATCCTGTATTAGCACTCACTTGCTCAAAATGCTCAGTGAATATCGCATAAAACAGCATTAAAGTAAATTCACTAAAATAAATAAATGCATGTGTTAAATTAAACGTGGTTCAGGCATGCAACAGTTAAAAAATATATTTTATGTTAGCTGGTTGTTAAGGATACTGCACTCACCAGCATCCTTAAAGCGGAGTACCGCTCAATCTATCAAAAAATAAAAGTCAGCCGCTACAAAAACTGTAGCTGCTGACTTTTAAAAAACAGCCACTTACCTGTCCCTCAGTCCTGTGGTGTGTCCCGCAGCTTGTTTCACCGGAAGTCCTGTATTCCAGGAGGCCGGCATCATCAGTGTGGGCATCCGGCTGTGATAGCTTGCAGCTTCACAGCCGGGTACCCACTGCACATGCGCAAGTAGTGCTGCGCTTCGTGAATGGCCCTGTAGTCTTCTGGGACCTGTCACGTGTTCCAAAAGACTACAGGGAGGGAGGACACCTTCTGCTTCTGATCGTCTAGGCGATCTGACCGGATGTGGGAGTGGGTACCTGTCAAATTCGGGTACCCGCTCCCCAAAGGTGCCAATCCTTAATGGGGAGCAGTCCTTAAAGCGGAACTTCCCCTTTTGGGTGGAGCTATACTTTAACAACCAGGAAATAGCTGATTGTTAGGAGATGGCAGCCGCCAGCATCCTTAACAACCAGTGAATAGCTAGTTGTTAAGGAGCCGGCAGCCACTGCATTCTTTACACCTGTCACGGATTCACCTGCACGCCATGCCCACAGCGACTAGCTAACCGAGGCGTGCACGTGCGGCCATAACTTGGGGTAAGAGGGAATAAGGGGGACTTAACTTTGAATATATAAAACCGTATATATAAGACAGTACGTGATATACTTTCACAGCCCGCGCTACCTCTTGGCCACCACCGGAGGGAGACTCCACTCCAATCCAGATGGCTGACCACACACTGGCAGATACAAATCTTACATACAATCTGATGCACTAACTAGGGTTGAGGAGCAGCCTAGCAATCACACACCCTTCTAGGATCCCTCCAGCTATCCTACAAGCCAGAACCCCGGTGTTAATCACTCTTCCACTGTCCACACACCCCCACACCAGACACACCACAAACGGTAGCTTGCCAACACCCAACAGTTTATCTGCAGAACGGTCTGTTGGGACACCACACACACACAACAAATCTCCGTCTGGCACCCTTACAATCTGCATGTAATCTGCCAACACGCAGTGCAATTACATACAGATTGGCAATGAGCTTGACCGAACATATAAAGATATAATATCACTTGGTGAATTAAGCACATTGTCTGCTTGGAAAATTTACTGCAAAAGGCATGTAAAATATTAGTTTTGTATGTCTTCAATTAAAGTTTCAGTGGTTCCTTCTTTATCTGAACTTCAACCAGAAAAACTGTAGAATCTAAGGTGATAACTTTTTTGTGCTGATGGATGCCATCTGAATTTATTAAATGATGCAGAATGGAAAGAATAGTTGACAAAAAAGCGACCATTTTTTTCTCTTACTGGCAACTGTGATTTCAAAGACATCCTCACACTAAATAAAAAGAAAAGAAATCTGCCATGACCAAGTTTTCATTTTCAACATACAAGATAATTGAAATTGAGGAAAGTTTTGGATAAAATATAGAAGGGTTAAAACCCCTGCCCGTTTTTTTTTTTTTTGCCATTTGTGTTCTTTAGGGGAGATTTCCCTTAACTTCCTACCCCTTGGACAAAACAGAAAGTAAGAGGAATAATCTTAATAATTAGGTAAATCCCCTCTTAGACAGTTGTCACCCAATCAAGTGTCCCCATTGGAAGACTTTCCCTCTGTTTCAGTGACAACTAAAAATTTTGGATTTTCCATCACTTTCAGGTTGTGACAATGATCCCCAGAAAAAAATAGAAAAAGGCAATCCTCCAAATGGGGTACAGAGATCAGTAAACCAAACAGGGTTTCCAATGCTTAAACACTCCATCCAAATCTAAAAAAGTTTTGGCTTTAAATTCACTCACTTTATAGTAAGTATATTATAAATGTTAGCGTGTATACTGTCAGTTTTCAAAATTGAAGATGTTTTCATGCATGATACAGGAACTGACATATTGTAGCTTTCTTAATCTATTTTCTCACCTTTCCCTCTCCAGTTCTGCTTTTAAAGTCCCACTTGAACGACCCTCTGCCCTTCCCTTCTTCTGAGGATTATCTGCTTGTTGAGATGGTGCTACAGAAGCCCGACCCAGCATTACTGAGCTTTCAGATGTACCAGCGCTTGCATATTGATTGTATAAACCATGGACATCACCTTGCGAAGAAGAAATGTGGGTAAACTGTCAAATTGTTTTTTGTTTTTTTTTCATTTTTTTGGTCTGAATTGCAAATCAGATTATATACAGTATAGCATAAATAATTAACTGTGAATGGAAGATGGAAGTGAGTTAAGACTATTGATAAAAAGCATTTGTCAATCATTCTTCTTTTTTTTTAATACTAAGGGGCTGGTTTGTTATAATAAATTGATGATGCTGATAAGATGTACTGAGGTTCCACCAGCTTTATTTTCAAGCTTCTCTTGGTTGTACTCAGCAGCAACTATCAGCAGGAAGAAGTGCAAGATGAAAGCTGTGCTCTGCATTACCTCGTGCAATTTTGGTTACAGTCTGACATTTGTTGGGTAGGGTGAATATAGAAAAAAAAACCACTTTCTTTTTCTTTTGTGCACTTAAACAATAACAGCTGGCTCATTCAATTTTGTATGTAATTTGTGCTTCTGATTCTGAGGTTTGTTTACAAGGCTAACAGAGAAATCATCAAAAAAGGATATATTGAGCCAGGTATTGCCATGAGGGACATGTACCAATGAAAAAAAAAAAAACACCAAAAATACCATTTAGTGGGGAAAGGGATCTCCTTTTAATAAAACTTCTACTGTGACATGGAAAAAACACCAATCCTTAGGTTACATACTTCAGAGATGCCTTCAACCTGTATCTGGTGTTATAGAACAGTATGATTTTCACAGGTCAGAGACGTGGTATTCTGGCATCACATGTTTTAGATGTATAATTGATTTTTTAACTCTTACATTTAGCTTGGTTTAAGAAAAATATACATGTAAGTAAGAGGGATCAAAAATGTGCACGAGCACGAAACGCGTTAGGGGAGGAGCCAAGTCAGTGACGTCATGCCACAGAGGCCACAAGGAAGGCTGGCGGCCATCTTTGTCACTGTTTCTGTTGCCAGATGTGAGTACATTACTTTATATGTACACTATATGCCAAATTTTGAATAAAAATACTGCACTATTAGTCATCTTTTCTCTGGCTCGTTTATTTACGAGCCCCTTAAGGTGGAATCCTGTGTTCTTCTAATGCCTATGACTTGTCCACTTATACTGGATGGGATTTATCCTGGAACCTGGAGAGTAGTAGCCGGTTGATCACCTGATGTGCTGACGTGTGCCATATGATCCCCTAAGTTACCTTTAGGATACAGATGACCAGGAGTGGTTTAATTTACTCAAATTCTGGTTAGTGCAATATATACTCGTTTTCCAACCACTGGAGTCACGGAATTCACTCTTTTACGTTTATTGGACTTTTTATCTATTTATTCATATCTGTGTCACCTTTGCACTTTATGCGTCAAATCAAGACGCTACTCTCACCATTACTTTTAGCGGTCCACAGCGCATGTTTTTCAAGTTTATTATTATATATGTGGATATATTCAGTTATTTATTATTTTACTCATCATCTGATTAGCGCTGCATTCTATAATTATTGATTTATTCAAAGGATTTGAGGTTTGACCTTTGTGCTAGCAGCTTACTCTTTTACCTAGTGCTCGTTTAACCCATTATCCCCTATTATTATAAGAGGGAGAGATAAGGCAGGGTTTATCCTGAAAAAAATATTAGAATATTTCAGAAATAATAGCCACGAGTATTGTTCAGTAGCAGAACAGTATGTAAGCAGCTTGGGTAGGCCACAATATAAGAGGGGGAGACAAGGCAGGTTTTATCTTGAAATAAATAAATAAAGTTTTTTTTATCTGATAGACTACCGTAGCACTGGAATGAACCACAAACTTGTAGACACAAAGCACGATTTACTCTGTAGCAAATATTTGAAATTTGACCGCTAGGATCTAGTTCTGTAAACATTGCATGACACATTTACTGTATAGTTCCAAAACACTGGAGTAGGAAGCAAATTCTGAGGCACAGAGCATGATTTACCCTGCAGCAAAAATTCTAATTTTGGCAGCTGAAGTACAGCTGTGAAAAAAAAATGTGAGTCACCTTTACATTACCAGAGCACCTGAATAGGCCACAAACTTTGAGACTCAATTCAGAATTTACCCTGCAGCAAACATTAAAAAACTTTGCAGCTCAGGTCCAGCTGTGTACAGGGGCACTAGAATAGACCACAAACTTGGTGCAAAACAGAGGATTTACCCTGCAAAAAAAACACAAATTGTGCAGCTGAGGTCTAGCTGTGGAACAATATTTGTGGCAGCTTTGTGGTTAAGGAGCACTGCAATAGGCCAAAAGAGGTGATATGAGCTGGCAATAGCAGCAGTTCAGAGAACAGGCAAGAGTTGGTGATGGTGGCAGGCCAAAACAGATGTCAGGAGCAGGTAATGGTGGCAGGTACCATTTTTTGGAGGCCATATGACACTGAGAAATTGAGACAGCAACATCAGCAATAAAGGTCTTTGTAATCATTGCTAATGCAGGACTGCTTTTTTTTTTTTTTTTTTTCAATGAGCTGGTCTATAGTGGCAGGGACACGTTTGCCTCTCTGTAAGAAAACCTCCTGATGAACAGAAGGCACTCCTGGACAGCACACTGGCTGGCAGAGCTAGCCAGAATCTTTAGCGCATACTGTGTACGTTTTGGCCAGTGGTTCAGCCTGGACACCCACTAGTCCATGGGGTCCTCACTTCTAAGAGTGTCTACTTTAGCCATGAACCCCATGTAGTGATGCTGAGACACTGCATATGAGTGTGCTGCCTGCAGTCATGCCTGTGATTGGAAAAAGACTTAAAATCATCACTGAGGAGGCTGCCATGTGGTTGTGGACACTGGTGATGAGAGGAGATCATGCTATTGTAAGGAAATGTGGCCAAGAGGTTCTTCTGCAAAACCTCCTTAAAGTGGCACATTTTGTGTCCCTTCTGAGATGGAAACAGTTTATCCCCTTGTAGCAGGAATCCAAGAGGGTGGCCATATAATGGTCCCTCTCTTTCATCTCCCACATGCTAGGGTCCCTGCACAGGGTTTGGGAAGGGTGAAACCACCCAAACCTTCCATCTCATACTACACCACAGCTACTCTGTCTCACAGGAATGGAGGCAGTAGACACATGACTCTGCTGGTCTTGAGACAGTAGCGAGTGCTTCTCTTCTTTCTGCTGCTGTACATCCAGTGCCTAGTCTAATGACACCAAACAGTGTGTGTTCCAGGAGGAACACGAGGGATTGTTTTGCTAATTTCCACCTCATCATGGCATGTTGCACATGTCCTAAATGATGAGACACACTGGTGCAGTGAAGAAAACCCCATCACCCCAAAGCCTATCCTTGTATCATACTCACACAAATACTCTATGATGGTACTGGATTTTTGCCAGGCAAACACCTGCAGCGTGTGACCACCTAAAGTGGTCTTAAATTCTTCTTGCCTGACAGAGGAATTCCTGAAAGCCAAAGTAAATAACTAGAAACTGCTGCTGCACCATTGGGTTTAGGTGCCGAAGGGCAGCCAGCACGTTAGTGTCCTTGTCACACACAATCTTGCTTGGCAAAAGATGATGTGGGGACAGCCACCTTTAAACCTCACTCTGTAAAGCCTCAAGAATTTCTGGCCCAGTGTGGCTCCTCTCTCCCAGGTAAACTACTGCTAAATAGCACATAATTGTTTGGCCTGGGTTGTAGCATAGGCTCTGGGATATTCAAATTAAAAAAAAATAAACGGCGAGCACTATAGATACGGAAGCAGCTGGCACAAAAAGATAGTGACAAAATCTCAATATCAAAGAAAATGCAAAACAGTGCAACGTATAAGAAAACTAACAACGTGAAACTAATCAGTGAGTAAAACGAAATAAATATGTCAGTGGTGTAACAAACATAATAGTAGACAATAAAGTCCTTACAGTATAAATATATAGAGTTATGATGTCAATCAAAGCCAATAGTGCTCAATCCCACAAAGTGCTCTGTATCCAGTGCAAGGTCCTCCACCGCTATGCACTCCCCAGACAGCTACTTGGTCAGTAGCATGTATTTCATGAGGTCTATGTCATCCACATTCCAGCAACTTTACCAGTCAGATTAGGTCCTGAGGGAAAAAAGCTCACCACACGGAGCCTGTAGTTTAGCATTTGCAATCAATCAAATTTTCCGTAACTGAAGCAGATCAGGGAAAGATTTAATCTGTTTGGTGGTAGCCTTAGTTTCTCTTTTTCTACATCCCTCCTGTTTTATTTATGCTGTAACCCAGTTCAATAAGGAGGGCACTGAGATTCAGCTTGCAGGATGTGTCCTTGCGACCTGGCTTTTTCTGCTCATTAGCTATCCTTATTGTTAGGAAATTTTATGTGTGACCCAAGACAACTCCTCTTCTTCCAGTGTGGCCCAGGAAAGTGCCAGGACTCCTCTGGTTTAGAACATGCTCCAGCATTTATAGCCAAACAGAAACTATGTCAACTTGATCCAATCACCATGGAATCATGGAGTTTGTCAAGGCAGATGCTGATTGTCAGCATGTCTTTGGAGTGTAGTGGGAAACCCACACAAGCAAAAGGAGAACATGCAATTTCAATGCAGATAGTCTCCTGGCTAGGATTCAAAGTGAGGACCCTGGTGCTGCAAAGCAGATATACTGACCATTAAGCCACTGTGCTGTCCTCATGAAAGCTTTCCCTTCTATATATTCTCTATTGTCTACTATTATGTTTGTTACACCCGTAACACATTTATTTTGTTTTACTCACTGATTTGTTTCACTTTGTTAGTTTTCTTATGCGCTGCACTGTTTTGCATAGGCTCTGGGATGCTTGGGGGGGGGGGGGGGGGGGGACTGGTGATTTTGATTAATAGATGATGAGGCTTGTAAGAAGAAGGGAGCACAGGTGACTGTGCACACATTACCTTCCACATGCTGGACAGGACAGGGATGGACTTCTGGGCAAATCAATGTCAGCTGTGTACTTGCTACAGTGATGCAGCACAGACCATAAACTTGCAGAATGGGGCTATCTACATGAGTTGAAATGGGAGCAGCAACAATTCCAGCTTTTTGACTCTGGGCATGGGGTGATTTGAGGACATTGCTTTCTTCTTCTTCTCCAGCACCTGTGCAAAAGACTCCTGCCTGGTCAAGGATGCTGTTAGTGATAGGGCTGCAGCTAGGAAACTTCTGAAAAGGTTCAAGCCTTCACTTTACCCCACTCAGCGTGGCCCCATGAACCACTTTTCCACTTGGTGTGGCATGATGCAAGCCTCTGAAACCATATGCGAGAAATCCCTTCCTATCACAAGAGGCTGCATCCACTGAAAGTATCTCTTTCTGGTCCCCTGGGCAGCAAAAGATGTGTGTATTTGATGTCTTTTTTGCAGGAAACAGTTTATTGCACAGATTTATTTTTGCAACCCTAAAGTGAGCCCTTAAAACAAAGTCTACCCCAAAACACTTAACACCTAGTCTGCTGCACACCCACTTCATCCTGTATCACGATCCTTTGTTCCGGGAGTAAGCAGTCTCACTTTAAAATGTAATGTGGCAGAGATCACAGTACCATAAATGGCTTTGGTAACAACATAGGCTCTTAAGAACATAGCAGTAGTATAAATTGGAACATCCGCCTGCTTGAAGCAAGTGATAAATATAAAATACTAATATGCCCATATTTATATTTTGATGCTTTAAAAATGAAAAAAAATGTTTTGAAAAAAAGTATTATAGGCTGCATTGATATGAAAATACAAAATATTAATTTTCAATATTATATGTTTGCCTGATTTAAAATAAAAAATAAATGTAAACATTTTTATTTTTTACACATGAATATAATAAACGCATGTAATTGGTGCATGTAATTGGTAAAGAAGGGTGATTAGGCAGAAAGATGCAAATTAAAAGCCTAATTAAAGCACTGAGGGGAATCCTTTGTGTGTGATACATATTTGACGCTACAAAATTCTCATTGTATCTAATAGGAAAACAGCATTGAGCTATCCTGTTATTTTACACAACTTTTTTTTTTACCTTTCATCTGATCCAGTATGTCACAGTGACTTGCCGATGTGCCAACATCCTGTTCAAGCTTGCCCTGAAGATGTTTAAGGACCTCCTAAACCAAACAAAATAAATATATGCATAAGATAAGCAAAATTTAAACCTTACAAGTTTAACGATTTTAGAGTTTTTCATACAAAGAAAATGGTCACCTTTACTGAATCATGCCAGTGGGAGATGCATACATCCCTAGCCACTTTAGTGGGGTCTAGTTAATGGATGAAATATCCTGCCAAGTGTCGAAAACCCGAATAGCAATGCTTTGTAAAGAAAATAAAATTGACCTATTCCTATGCAAAAAAAAAATCACATAGACTACACTTTTCACAACACGTAGGTAAATATCCGAAAACTAACAAACATATCACTGATATAATTAATAATATAAAAAAACGAGCATGATGAGCTTATAACCATTTGTCTAGAGCTATTCTGCTCAGGGTGATCAATGATCACGCCACTGTTCTTGTTTTGAGGTAACAGCTCCACCATCTCCTCTACAGGAAACCTTGGCACTCAAGTTACTGAAAGATAAAGGAATACAATAGATAATTCGTCTCACTGTACCTTAGTTAGTATATAAATATCTTAGTTTAGATATTTCCTTAATTTTACATATATGTATAAAGGACATACATATATTAATAAAGGATGTGTAATAAGTAATGGTAAAATTTAGTACCTAGTGTTTCAATGTAAGAGTAAGGCTGGCCATAGATGGATCATTTGTTTTATTAGCCAGCTGGCTGATCAGAAAAGAATGAATGGATTCCCCCACATGTGAGGTGGATGGAGGAATCCTCCCCGTTGTCAGAATACACTGATTGATTGGCTGCATGCACTGACTGAATGAAAAATTTCCAACAGTCCCATTTGAGAGAAGCTGATCATTAGATCAACTTCCCCTGAGCGGGGAAGCCATAGATAAATTTGGCCAGTCCTTGCTGAATAGGCCAATTTTAGATCTGTCTATGGCCAGCTTAATTTTGAATATTGCTATGAGTTGCCACAGTTTGCCTTGCTAAATATTTTTTTCCATTGTGGATAGATACTGAAGTGATCACTAATCCAACAGCTTATGAACTACTTGCCTACCAGGTCAATTCTGACATTTCTCTCACACATGTAAAAGTCAGCATTTTTTGCTAGAAAATTACTTAGAACCCCAAAAACATTATATATTTTTTAAGCATAAGGTCTAGAAAATAAAATGGTGGGCATTGCAATTTTTTTATGTCATACAATATTTGCACAATGATTTTTCAAACACAATGTTTTGGAAAAAATACATTTTAATGAATTTTGAACACAAAACACAATATAACACCCATTTTTTTTTATAAAATATAAAACAAAAAGATGTTTCACTCAGTAAATAAATACTAAACATGTCACGCTTTAAAAGTTCACATGCACATGGAACAGTGACAAACTAAGGTACATTAAATTATCCATAGGCAATGCTTTAAACGCCTTTATAGGTTACCATTTTACACAGGAAGTATGGTGCTAGAATTATTGCTCTTGCTTTGAAGATCACATCAGCAATACCTCACATTACTTATGTGCGCAATCACATTTGCAGTGGAGGGGACACTTTAAAAACATTTATTTTATTTTCATTTTTTTTAAACTGTGATTTTATTTTTATTTTTTTAGATCAACTTTATTGCTATCACATCCCTTGTGATAGCATGGGCTGTAACAGGTCCTCTTTATGGAGAGATCTGGGGTCTATTGGGGTCTCCCCTGACCCCAAAGCATCTGATCAAACTGAGACCAGTTTAATCAGATGCTTTTACAATTATGGTAATGGATGGTTTCCATGAGACCGAAACTGGAAGTGACAAAATCATTGTTGCTTCCGGTTTCTGACATCACACGGTGGGAGGAACAATGTCAGTTCCTCGTCTACGTCCAGGGAAGTGTATACCACTGTTTGCATTGGTACTGCTCTCCCTGATGGTACAGGAGACTGAGAGCCCAGTAAAGGCAGAGGTGGTGGCTGGGGGCCACCTGTAAAAGCTCAGATCACTTTTTCCTAAAGCTACGTTTACACTAGCGTTGTGTGCAGGCGGCAGAAAGGCGTTTGGGGAAGCGCTTCCCAAACGCCTCGGACGATTCTGCACATTGCGGGAGCGTTAGCGTCGCGGCACGGCTAAACGGACGCCTCTGGTCGAGTCAGGAGGCGTTGAAGCCTCCTATTCTAGTCTATGGTTGCGACGCGGTTGCGGGGCGTTAACGCCATTCAAACTTCATTATAGGCGTTTGTGGGGCGTTTTTAACGCTCGGCAAACACCTAGCAACTGCCGCTGAACCGCACATGCAGCGTTTAAAAAACGCTCCGCAAACGCCGAACCAACGCTTGGGGCATTTGGCAAGAGTTGGCAAGAGTTGGTAAAACAGTCAAGTGTGAACGAGCCCTTAAAGAGAATTGCCAGATGAAAACACAACAATACCAAGATTATGAATATATCTTCAGTCATGATGCTGGTATAACCACTTCAACCTGAGGCTGTATATATACTGAGTATGTACTCATGCATGCATGCTTTTACTTTTCAGAGGTCCGATATTGTTCTATGTACAATCCTTGTTTTATTGATTGCATGTAATATTCTAATTTTCTGAGATTGTGGATTTGGGGTTTTCATGAGCTGTAAGCCATAATCATCACAATTATGACAAATGACGGCTTCAACTATCTTGCTTTGCATGTAATGAGTCTATCTCATATATTAGTTTTACCTTTTAAGTTGCATTACTGAAATAAATTAACTTTTGCACGATATTCAAATTTTTTGAGTTTCACCTGTACTTTACATGGCCTATGGGTAGGAAGTAGTTTCAAATGCTTGGGGACTCTGGAAGTGAAATCTTTTCTCCAAGTTCGCAAGTCTCCTGAATGCTGGGATGCAGTCTACATTTTAAAATTCTATTTGGTACTACATTATGTAGAATATAGTAGTACCAGGAAAGCATAACAAAAAGCATGATATTTAGTGATTTGGAATGTCCAATTCTGGTCCAACCTGTCAGATATGATGTTTTAGTTTTGTATTGACTGTTCAGTATTAAATGCTGTTTTACTATAATACAAAAATGTCTATGTTTATATATTGGGGTTTTTTTTCTGTTTGTCTCTTTAAAATCAATCATATCACTGTAGTCAGATAGGCTCTTATTATATATTCATTTTAAGTGATTTTCTGTTCTCAAATGAACACCGTTGAGTGTTCCCCTCTGTCCAGTGATTGTTCATCTGAGCTAACTTAATGGTTCTGGAAAAAGTAATGCATATTCCACTATCTGCTACTGTACTGCTACTGTACTAAGTGCTCATTAGTAGCAACCATTAGCTTTCTCTAAGGAAAAAAACAATATCATGAGTGATGGAGGTGCGTTACTATTCTTTGACCATGTATGTGCTTGTGTTCATAGATTATTCTTTACAAGTATGCCTTCTCTAAAAAAAACATACCTTTTTATATATCACATTGCTCAAAACCATGCTTGGGAACAGTTAAGCATCCTGTGCTTGGGACCACTTGGAAGAAGAGAGGGTCCCCCTTGTAGTTATAATAGTTTGCTTCTGTGTAGGCACAATATATGACAGAGCACAGGACTCTCCATAACTCATTCACCACATAAGCAAGGATCGCTGTGGTCTGGAAGATGTAAGTCTGCCTGGGAACACCTTTTTTAAAGTACAGCATGAGTGTAGGCCAGCGGGATAACAATCAAACTTGGGCATGGTTCCTTTTAACTCTGTCCAGTGAGTGCTTCCTTTGACAGCTTCTACTGGAAAGGCATCCCCAATGGAAAACTTTACCTTGCCTCCTGTTCCATTGATATCGGAAAAAAAATTCTGCAGATTTTTGTTCTTCAGAAATCCTTGCTTGTGTAGCACCCTCCTAGGTAGCTACGGGGAGCTATTTCAAGTTTTTATCAGCTAGAAGGCTGAGTAGGAGCCTGGACTGAGGCAGAGGGGTTATTTTAGGTCAGGACTGAGGGGCTCAGCAGGTCAGTTCCTTGACACCTCCCCCTGCTCTAGAATCTTGGAGAAGATTCTACAAGCAATGGGCAGGGATGAGGAGGAGCTGGCCTGCAAACCTGGAGGACTCTGACCAATCCCCAAGTAGAAGGCTTGGCATGGGGCCAGTCTTTAAATGTGTTAGAGCCTGCTCAGCAGCAGGAGAGTCCGGGTGGAAGATAGCGTAAGAATGCTGAGGTACAGAAGCCTGGAAGGAGGCCCAGTTGGGTAAGGGCTCACCTCCAGGCACTGATGCTGGAGAGAATGAAAGCTTAGCCCTCATTGGTCCCCAAAGCGCGAACTACCTGTGCAGAAGGGAAGGAGCCAGCCCAGCTAAAGGCCTAGAAGCAGCTACTGACCTTTGAGCTCATAGGAACAGGACTGAGTGACTAATCCTACACCCCCTGGGCCAGTTAAGGGGAAAAGAAGCACTCTGGTGGGAAACTGGATTAGCTCCTTGCCTGGGACTGTTAATTGTAAGGTGGCAGGCACTGGATCCCTTACCCAGGGATTCCTTTCAGACCAGGAAAGACTGAAGAGCTCTCCAAGAAGAGAATTTTGCTATGTAAAGACTTGTACATAGTTCCAGGAAGGTGTCCTCAGTTCCAGTTCCCTTGGGCATCCCATACACCCTTTACCCCATCCCAGTTCAATTCCCCTATTAAAACTTAAAAAACCCAAGCTCAAGGACTAGTTATTGTCTCCTGGATGCAAGTCAGTGAGGAATGCGTGTTGCCTGGCTGTGCAGGACTATAGGAGGACCCAAATCTCTAGCGACTTCTAAGGGGTAGAGCTACCTTTATAATCTCTTTTTATATATGTAGAACTAGGCTTTGTTAGGAAATGTTCTAATTTGTTACACTGTTACACCGACTGAGCAACTGCTGTGTGTATGCCTCATATCAGCATCTATATTTAGGTATGCTAATTATGCTACACAGTCATATTGTTAGCAATTTTGCAACAGCTTTTTTTTCTCCAGGTTTTTTATACCTTTGCAAAGAAAAGGTGTCTTAAAGCGGTATTAAATCCAAAAACAAACATGTATTATGTTGCACCTTACCAGATGTGGTAGCTGCATTCATTTTATTTTAGGCTTTTATCCTTTATTTTCATCTGGTGAACCAACCATTAAGTATGGGATTTTTTAACTTACTTTAGCAGAACAAGCTGTCCAGCAATAGTAGAAGATAGAGGGTTGTGACAAATTATTTAGCACGGGAAGGTGTACTTACAATAGTCAGATATTATTCTTGTATGTAAAACCTTTATCCCAAAAGAATAAAAAACTGTTGCTGTAATTGCTTAAAAAAAGTGTTAGCCAAAGTTCAGCTTTAAGGTGGAAACCTTCCTATCCTTTACAGCTGTGGTCTCAAAACTGCGGGGCCCAGGAACTGGATGTGGCCCTTTGCTTTTATTATCTAGCCCTTGGGGCACTATTCCACCAATTGGCATCAACAGGCCCAGACTGGCCATAGGGCAAACCGGGCATTTGCCTGGTGGGCCGGGGATGCTTGGATAGGAGAGAGGACCGTGCAGTTCTTGGTTCCTCCATGTGCTGCCCAGCCACCTCTCCTATCCATCTCCTGCATGTGGTTGGCTCCTGTATGCTCCCCCCACGGCCCCCCCTTATCTGCTTCAGAGCCTCCCCATCTTCCCCCGCAGCCGCCCCCCTCCCTCATCTCCTCTAGCAGCCCCCCATCTCCTCCAGGAGCCCCCCTCATCTCCTCCAGCGGTCCCCTTCCTCATCTCCTCCAGCAGCCCTCCTCCTCATCTCCTCCAGCGGCCACCTCCCTCATCTCCTCCAGCGGCCCCCCTCCTCATCTCCTCCAGCAGTCTCCCTTCCTCGTCTGCTCCAGCAGCCCACTCCCTCCCTCATTTCCTCCTGCGCCCCCCCTCATCACCTCCAGTGGCCCCCTCCCTCATCTCCTCAAGCGGCCCCCTCCCTCATCTCCTGCAGTGGCCCCCCTCCCTCATCTTCAGCGGCCCCCCTCCTCATCTACTCCAGTACCCCCCTCCTCATCTCCTCCAGCTGCCCCCTCCCTCATCTCCTCCAGCAGCCCCCCTCCCTCTTCTCCTCCAGCGGCCCCCTCCTCATCCAGTGCTGCGGGGGATCTGTCAGCATATCTCTTCTCTCCTCCTCTTCTTTCTCTCTCTCTCTCCTTTTTCTCTTTCTCTTTCTTTCTCTCTTTCTTTTCTTTTTTTTCTTCTTCTTCTTTCTTCTCTTTCTTTCTCTCTCTTTCCTTCTCCTTTCTTTCTTCTCCTTTCTTTTCTTTGCTTCTTTGCCTTCTTCCTTCTTTCTTTTTATACACCTCTCTTTCTTTCTCACTCTCTGTCTCCTGTTTCTCTCCTTTCTTTCACACTAGTGCCGGAATTACCAGGGTTGCAAAGGTCGCTCTTGCGACCGGGCCCTGGCATTCCGCCACAGGGCTCCAAAGAAAGGGCTGCTCAGTCCAAAGTGCCCAGGCCCTTTTTTTTTGTCCCAGTCCGGGCCTGGGCACGAACAATGGGATACCTTCGATGGGGCACTATTCTTTCCATTTATAAAAACAATGGGGCACTATTCCTCCTGATAAAACCAATGATGGTGCATTGTTTATGCCCACTGATATCAGGACATTTTCAAATCCCACTGGCCACAATCTGGCCCCCACCAAAGCCTGAAGGACAGTAAACTGGCCCTTTGTCTAGAAAGTTTGGAGAGCCCTGCTTTACAGCCTCTGTTTGATCTGTTGCCATAGTGCTGCACATGTGATCAGCTATGACCCCAGCCATTTGATGGCTTGAAAGTTTAGTTGTGAACTAACATAAGCCCAGTAGTAACGGTAACAGTTAACATTCAAGGCATGTCTGGTATTTGGAGGCCGCAAACGTTCAGCTTAGTCCAGAAAGATACTTCATCTCAATCTGCTATATTCCACAAGTGGAGGTTCGGACACTACCGAGGAGAGCAACAACAGTGTTTGGAGTGGTGAGAGGCTGCGGGCACAGTTTATGTGGTGGCTGCCGCTGTATGTGCAGTAAATCAACATTATCTCAACCTGATGGTTACTGGCCTCACCCACAAGGGATGTATTGATCTATACCTGTTACACGAACTGCCATTAGCCTTCAGTTGTTTCCACTACTGTGTTTGCCCTTCAGGTCTGTATAACTTTTTGCAGGCATCCTTTGGATACATCTGAGCTATCTAACTAGCTCATCCACTATACAATATGCTCAGTTAATGAGCCCTTTAAGAGGAAAGAACAAACAGAGGGCGCACAGGCCTAGTGCATTACCATAAAAAATATTTAATAAGACATAAAGTAGGTGTTGTACTCACAAAATGACAATAAAGTCAAGGCACGTCATAAAAGAACAGCTTAGTCAACACCGCGCTGAGTAACAGTCCGCAATAGGGAGTGTAGATATCCAATAGGCTGACGAGTTTCGAGGACTTGCTTCTTCCTCAGAGCCAACTGACCAAATGTCTGCTCCCTCTTATATATGCTCACTAGTAGTTGAACCAAAGGTCACATGGGCCATCCTGGACACTCCCATATGCAGGGGGAGGGGTCACAGGGGCAATTGACATAGTATAAGTAAACATGAAAATATAAATATATATGTATAAATAAAATTACTGAAACTAGTGACAATCATAAAATCATAAGAACCATAAGAAGTGTGCAAAAAAAAAAAAAAAAAATAAATACAAATTTACACATATATATATTAAAAATCCTTCCCTGGTGATGTACTGCACCGCTCACGTTTAAATAAATGGATAGATGGATGAACGACACTACGATGCTGTTTAGTGCTCTAATTGCCATAGACAACCATGGGACATGGATTTAATGAAGAGAGTAGATCTGGAACCCAGCAGTGACACTTATTAATTCATAGAAATGCACAAGCAAATTTTTCACCAGGTGAAAATAATGGAAATAAAAATAAAAACTAATGCAGCCACCAAATTTATTGATTGGTAAGCTGCAATATATTAAAGTGGTTCTAAAGCCTCAAGGTTTTTTACCTTAGTTCATTTTAAGGTAAAAAACCTTCTGTGTCACATACTTCCCCCTCATGCCCCCTTATACTTACCTGAGCCCCATCACTATCCAGCGCTGTACATGAAAGCTGTGGCTCTCCTGGCTTTGTCCATTCTTCCTGGGCAGATCGATAGCAGCAGGAGCCATTGGCTCCCACTCCTGTCAATCAACTCCAGTTATGAGGGAGCGGGAGGTAGGACTGAGACCCAGTGTCTGTCAATGGATGCAGCAGCAGGTCTTGGGAGCGAGCCTACACGAGTGCCCCCTCTGTGCAATTCTATTGCCAGAGCAGGTAAGTATAGACATGTTTGTTTTTGTTTTTTTTTTCCTTTACAACCACTCTAAATGTTGTTTTTTGCTTTAGTACTGCTTTGTTTCTGGAGTAAAATCAGAAATCTGTGCTCCATAATCTGGTCCCGTATGTCTATATTTTTCCCAAAAAAATTGTTGTGTTTTTTTTGTTTTTAAATAATGTATATTGAGAAACATCCAAACAATGCATGCCAGCATACATATGTATGAAAGTAAGTATGGACATATGTATGTCGGTACAGGTCACCTCTTAACTTCAATTTTAGAATTTCCCGATGCTTTAGTATTCTTTTTCTTATTATCCCTGATGCTATCCTTGAGTCACTTAGCTGACTTCCACGCTTTCAGCATTTTTCCCTTACCTTCATGTCCGATGTGTCATGCTCAAGGCGGCTCAGCTGGCTGCTGTTGTCCTTTAGCTCCCTCCTTAGGTGGGAGTTCTCCTTTCTTAAGTCTTCTACCTGGCGGACCAGCTGATCGTAGGAGGCAGGAGAGCCAACCAATCCAATCCGTGCACACACCTGTATGCAATAAAAAGATAAACAGTTTAAAACACTGATGCTCAAAAATGTATACCTATAATATCATATAGGTGGGATTCCAAATAGAAGGAAGTACACTGGAAAAAGGAAGACTGCAAAAAATGAAACGCCAATGAAGCTTCTCTAAAACTTCTACCAAGATTTAAGCTTGAAAATATGTTTTTTTCATTTGTAGGACATATAAGAAAAATTCACTATATTTCCGGTAGACATTATATGTAAAATTCCTACATACAGTTGCAAGAAAAAGTATGTGAACCCCTTGGGAGTTTTGCATGAATTGGGCATAAAATGTGCTCTGAACGTCATCTAAGTCACAACAATAGAAGAACACAGTCTGCTGAACATAATACTACACAAACATTAGATGTTGCCATGGTTTAATTGCACATAACATGTAAACATTCACAGTGCAGGGAGGAAAAAGTATGTGAGGCCCTAGCTTAATGACTTCTCCCAGAGCTAATTGGAGCCAGGAGTGAGCCAACCTTGACTCCAATCAGTGTGATGATATTGGATGTGTTGCTGACAGCTGTCCTGCCTTTAAAAAACACACACCTGTTTTGGGTTTACTGGTTTCAAGAAGCACTGTCTGATGTGAACCATGCCTCACAGAAAAGAGCTCTCAGAAGACCTACGATCAAGAATTGTTGACTTGCATGAAGCTGGAAAGGGTTACAAAAGTATCTCCAAAAGCCTTGATGTTCATGTGTCCACGCTAAGACAGATTGTCTACAAATGGAGAGAGTTTAGCACTGTTGCTACTCTCCCTAGGCATGGTCGTCCTGTAAAAATGACTGCAAGAGCACAGCTCAGAATGCTGCATGAGGTAAAGAAGAATCCCAGAGTGTCAGCTAAAGACCTACAGAAATCTCTGGCACATGCTAACATTTTTGTTGACACATCTACAATAAGGAAAACATTAAACAAGAATGGAGTACATGGGAGGACACCACGGAGGAAGCCATTGCTGTCCAAAAAGAAGATTGCAGCACGTTTGAAGTTTGCAAAAGAGCACCTGGATGTTCCACAGCACTACTGGCAAAATATACTGTGGACAGATGAAACCAAGATTGAGTTGTTTGGGAAGAACACACAACACTATGTGTGGAGAAAAAAAGGCACAGCACACCAACATCAAAACCTCATCCCCACTGTAAAACATGGCGGAGGGAGCATCATGGTTTGGGGCTGCTTTGCTGCCTCAGGGCCTGGACGGATTGTTGTCATTGATGGGAAAATGAATTCCAGAGTTTATCAAGACTTTTGCAGAAAATCGTACGACCATCTGTCCGCCAACTGAAGCTCCGCAGAGGATGGGTGATGCAACAGGACAATGACCCAAAGCATACAAGTAATTCAACAAAACAATGGCTGCAACAGCACAGAATATGCCTTCTGGAGTGGCCCAGTCAGAGTCCTGACCTCAACCCGATTGAAATGCTGTGGCATGACCTTAAGAGAGAAATTCAAACCAGACATCCCAAGACTATTGCTACACTGAAACAGTTTTGTGAAGAGGAGTGGTCCAAAATTACTCCAGATCATTGTGCAGGTCTGATCTGCAACTACAGGAAACGTTTGGTTGAGGTTATTGCTGCCAAAGGAGGGTCAACCAGTTATTAAGTCCAAAGGTTCACATACTTTTTCCTCCCTGCACTGTAAATGTTTACATGTTATGTGCAATTAAACCATGGCAACATCTAATGTTTGTGTAGTATTATGTTCAGCAGACTGTGTTCTTCTATTGTTGTGACTCAGATGACGTTCAGAGCACATTTTATGCCCAATTCATGCAAAACTCCACATAATCCCAAGGGGTTCACATACTTTTTCTTGCAACTGTATATCCAATGCAATATGGATATTGAAAGGCATAATGGGCAGCACAGTGGCAAAATGGTTAGCACTTCCACCTGGCAGTACTAGGGTTGTTGGTTCAAATCCCAACCACAGCACCACCTGCCTGGAGTTTGCATGTTCTCCCTGTGCCAGTGTGGGTTTCTTCCGGGTACTCCGGTTTCCTCCCACACTCTAAAGACATGTTGGTAGGTTAATTGACTCCTGTCTAAATTGGCCCTAGTATGTGTATGTATGAATGTGAGTTAGGGACCTTAGATTGTATGGCCCTTGAGGGTTAGGGATTAATGTGAATGTACAATATATATGTAAAGCGCTCTGTAAATTGACGGCGCTATATAAGTGCCTATAATAAATAAATAAATAATAAACAGTATCTCCCCTTTTGAAATCTTGTGCCCGTCTCTGTAAATATTTAACATATGCTATCACATATGTTAATTAGATAAATGGCTAAGAGATTTATGACTTTTTTTTTTTTTTACATAATTAAATTTTTTAGATTGATTAAATTTAACAGCATGGGCCTTAACAACTGCCTTGAAAATCAGTAACTACGCAGAGATGAATCGTCCCTACGACTGTCTGCGGCAGAGAACGTGTTAATCACTGCAGGCCGTAGCAGCCGGAGATGGAATTAATCATTTCTGTAGTGGTGTCTCTGTGATGTCACTGTCTGTGGATACAGAACTCCAGCCGACCCCATTTATGGAAATCGTGCACAATGTCAACCAATCCTGATGTGAAGGCAAGAAAAAAGTATCATGGCAACAACCAATCCTGATGCCCTGATCCAAGCTCCAGCAAGAGATCAGATGAGGAAAAACATTCCATGCCTTGTTACTAAGTGACATACTGTGAAAAGGACTGTAAGGAAAAAAACAGAGGGTTCGGGCTTAGAATTTCATAGAAAAGTTCACTATTCTGGCCAACGTAAAGAAAAAAAAAACGGGTGGTTACCAGGGACCAGTTTTTTATACTACGTACTGATGAGCCTTATTGATATTATTGACAATCAGGGACCATCAACTAAACAATGCATAATTACATTGGGGGGGGGGGGTTATTAAAAATGGAGCAGACAGAATCTGGAGCAGCTGTACAGGGCAACTAATCAGTTTCTATCTTTTATCTTTTTATCTTTTTCAGCTTTTTTAAGCTTTGAAATTGAAAGAGAGAGGCCGATTGGTTACCATTCACAACTGCTCCAGTTTCCCAATCAGTTTTAAAAACAGTCTACCCTTTTTAAAATTTGTGTTATTTTACAATGCAGCATTGGGATTGCAATGCTTTTTTTATTAAGTGTTCTTGCATGGCAAGACCACTTACTGTTATCTCACATATATATTCTTATTATAACCAAATTTACCACCCAACTCCTCCCACAGTTTTTTACACTACATAGACAGTAATATACCGAAACGTGCAGATTGTTCCGGATTGGTGTGCTATTACTTTGTGGAACGTTTCGCCGAATGGTTCACGAAATATCGGCGTTTTTGTGGTGAAATTGGTCCTATAGGAAAGAATGGCGGAATGTTCAAAACTAGAGTGGGAGCTGACAAAAGCTAGAGTGGGAGCTGAAAAATCAGGACATGATTTCTAAACTGCCATCACTCCCTCATTTTCAAGCCCACCTACATGAATCTTATATCAAAACATTCAGCTATCCCTGCTGCTACTAAAAAATGTCCACGGCTAAGCCATAGTTCTGATAGTTTTCACAATATGACCATTTGTTTGCAACTCATGCCGCCCATTGACATTCATTGAAACTGCACTCTAGCCACCTCAAATTTGAAAGGCAATTTCTAAACTGCGGCTGTGCTTTCATTTTTAATATTTCAGAGACATACATCAAAATGTAGGTCTGGGTCTTGTGATTCTCACAATATAAAGCTCTTCGGTGTAGGATTTATACATTTTTTTAAACTACAACCGTTTGAAGATGGCAACCGCCAGTGAAGTGAGCAAGTTGGAGCAGTTTGTTTTTAACTGCTCTTCTCTGCCCTTGCTGTAGAATGAGTTGCCATAGGAACCCAGGTGTGTGAGCAGGCAGCAGAGTGACAAGCCACTTCACCCAGTTGCTCCACCCACTCCAGTTGTAGACTACTGGTGGAGGCAAGAACACTTCACACAATTTCCCCAGAAATTGTAGCTTTTCTAGTTTATTATTATTATTATTATACAGGATTTATATAGCACCAACAGTTTGCTCAGCACTTTACAATATAAAGGGAGAAAATACAGCAACAATACATTTCAATACAAGAGGGTTAGGAGGGCCCTGCTCCTCGGAGCTTACAATCTAATTATTATATAACCAAAACCATGGAAGCTACACAAATATAAGACATTTCTTCCCCATGGTGAGTCATCTTAAAGCAGAACGAAATCCTTCTATCATTTTCAGTCAAGGAAGCTGCCACCTTAGCCCCTGTTTGATCTGCAATTGCCATGGTGCTGCACATGTGATCAGTTATGACACCAGCCATTTGATGGTTGGACAGGTTGGTTGACATCACAAAGCAAATGTTACAGTTAGCGTTTCTGGCACACCGGGAATGTAACTGCTTTGTGAAACCATTAACCACTTGCCCGCCTGAGGATTTACCTCCCTTCCTGACCAGGCCAACAACGCTGCACCCAAATGAAATTTACGTCCTTTTTCCCATGAATTGTGCTTTCTTTCAGTGGTATTTGATCACCTGTGCATTTTTTATTTTTTGCGCTATAAAAAAAAAGCCCGACAATTTTGAGAAATAAACAATATTTTTGACTTTTTGCTATTAACCTCCCTAACGGTATTCCCGAGTGTAGCTCGGGGTAAAATGTCTATACAAAAGCGGTAACCCCGAGCTACACTCTGGCTTACCATGCGGCGCTGCATAGGGAGTCCCTGCAGCACTTACCTTGTCCTTGGCTCCCACGATGTGTCCCCTGCAGCGTCCCCGGCCATCTCCCCTGGCTGATGCCAGCATCTGCCTCCTGTGTTCCGGTCCCTGTGACGTCGGGACGTACGGGCGCGCCGCCAGCGGCGGGAAATTTGAAAATTAAAAAAAAATTTCATTTTTTTCAAAACAATTTTACATAGTAAAACATTGCTGTTTCAACCCATTTCACATACATTTTGTCCCTAGTGCTTTGTCCTGTCCCTGTCTGCATTTTGATTGTTCTTTCTGCCTGGAAACTTAGAAAAGTCCATGGCGTCCAAAAAGTGTCCCTTTAGGTCAAAAGCAGGTTTAGATCAGCTAGAGAACAGCGATAGTAAATCAGAACTACTTGCAGAATTGAGTGATAATGATTCGTGGAGAAATTCGTCATCAGACACTGAAAACAATTTTGCGACTTTGCTCAGCGATGTGCGAACTTGGCGCTATATTTCAAATTTCAGTGTTTTTGGTTTGATTATATTATTGAATTAAATGTATGATTTAGAATCTTGTTCAGACAGATTTCAGTGAGTTATTCCTAAAAATTACAGCCTACAATAAAAAAACTACATATTTCCATGCAAAATAATGGTACCGCTTTCAGCACCAAAAATATGAAATAATCATACCGCTAGGGAGGTTAAACACGTCCAGTAAAAAAATTGCAAAAAATCAACTTTCATCATAAATTTAGGCCAGAATATATTCTGCTACATGTCTTTGCTCGAAAAAAAACCCATACGTGTAAATGATTTGGTTTACGTGAAAGTTATAGCGTTTACAAATGGCGGTATAAATACTGTAATGTTTTTTCTACTAGTAAGTCAGTGACTTATAGCAGGACTGCAGGACTGTGGCGAACATTCTGACACTGGGGGAACTGACTTGCTGTCAATGACATCCCAGTGACACCAATACAGTGATCAGTGCCACATATCAGTGCCCATCTGAGCTGACTTTCAGTGTCACCCATCAGTACCAGTCAGTGCCACCTATCAATGCCAATCAGTGCCACCTATCAGTGCTGCCAATCAGTGCCACCTATTAGTGCCAGTCAGTGCCGCCTATCAGTGCCATGCATCAGTGCTGCCTTTCAGTGCCCATCAGTGATGCCTGTCAATGCCCATCAGTGCCACCTATCAGTGCTGCCAATCAGTGGCACCTATCAGTGCCAGTCAGTGCCGCCTATCAGTGCCAGTCAGCGCCGCCTATCAATGTGCATCAGTGCTGCCTATCAGTGCCAGTCAGTGCCACCTAACAGTGCCAGTCAGTGCTGCCTATCAGTGCCGCCTATCAGTGCCATATATCAGTGCCATGTATCAGTGCTGCCTTTCAGTGCCCATCAGTGATGCCTGTCAATGCCCATCAGTGCCACCTACCAGTGCCTCCTCATCAGTGCCCATCAGTGCCACCTATTTCATATGAGTACAGTGTTGCATGACCACGCAATTGTCATTCAAAGTGTGACAGCGCTGAAAGCTGAAAATTGGCCTGGAGGGAAGTGGGTATAAGTGCCCTGTAGGCTAGGGGTTAAATGGTGTTGCCTCAGAAGGGGGGTAGTCTTATACGACGAGTATAGCCCAAAACTATGTTTTAACTGGAGAATTAGGGGGTCGTCTTATACACCCAGTCGCCTTATACGCCGGAAAATACGGTACTGTTCTCCTGGTAATCGCCAAACCCAGAAACGTCCATCAGATTGCCAGACAGAGAAGCGTGATTCGTCACTCCAGAGAACACGTCTCCACTGCTCTAGAGTCCAGTGGCAACGTGCTTTACACCACTGCATCTGCCGCTTTGCATTGCACTAGGTGATGTAAGGCTTGGATGCAGCTGCTCGGCCATGGAAACCCATTCCATGAAACTCTCTATGCAATGTTGTTGTGCTAATCTGAAGGCCACATGAAGTTTGGAGGTCTTTAGCTATTGACTCTGCAGACAGTTGGCAACTTCTTTGCACTGTGTGCTTCAGCATGCGCTGACCCCGCTCTGTCATTTTACGTGGCCTACCACTTCGCGGCTGAATTGCTGTTGTTCCCAGTTGCTTCCACTTTGTTATAATACCACTAACAGTTGACCGTGGAATATTTAGTAGCAAGGGAATTTCACGGATGGACTTATTGCACAGGTGGCAACCTATCAAGGTTCCACGCTTGAATTCACTGAGTTCCTGAGAGTGACCCATTCTTTCAAAAATGTTTGTAGAAGCAGTCTGCATGTTTAGGTGCTTGATTTTATACACCTGTGGCCATGGAGGTGATTGGAACACCTGAATCCAATGATTTGGAGGGGCGTTCCAATACTTTTGGCAATATACTGTATATTTCCAAAAGTATATAATATAGTGTATAACTAAGTCACATATCAACATGGATGTCACTCCACTTCCTCAAACTCAATCTTTCTAAAACTGAGCTCGTACTATTCCCTCCAGCCCGTGCCCCCTCCCCTGACTTCTCCAACAAGATCAATAATACAACTATCAGTCCCTCCCCTCATGCCAGGGTACTAGGTGTAATCCTAGACTCCCATCTATCCTTTCAGCCCCAAATCCAATCACTGTCCAAATCTTGTAGACTTCACCTCCTCAACATCTCCAAGATACGCCCGTTCCTAACCTCGGAAACCACTAAGCAACTTATTCACTCCCTTGTTATCTCTCGCCTTGACTATTGTAACTCCCTTCTCATTGGCCTACCTCATCGCAGGCTATCCCCTCTTCAGTCTATCATGAATGCTGCTGCCAGACTCATCCACCTTACTAACCGTTCTGTATCTGCCATCCCTCTCTGCCAATCCCTCCACTGGCTTCCCATTGCACAACGGATAAAATTCAAAACATTAATAACATATAAAGCCATTTATAACTCTGCCCCAAATTACATCACCAGTCTTGTCTCCAAATATCACCCAAACCATCCTCTCCCATGACCTCCTGCTCTCTAGCTCCCTTGTCTCCTCCCATGCTCGTCTCCACGACTTCTCCAGAGCCTCCCCCATCCTCTGGAACTCTCTACTCCAATATATCAGACTATCGCCTACTCTGTCAACTTTTAGGCGATCCCTGAAAACCTATCTCTTCAGGGAAGCCTATCCTGCCTTCAGCTAATAACAAAATCTTCGATTCCTCCTACCAGTCCATCCCCCACAGTTATCATCTTTTGTACCACCAGCACCTCCCTCTTAGATTGTAAGCTCCAAGGAGCAGGGCCCTTCTAACCCTTTTGTATTGAACTGTATTGTTGCTGTATTGTCGCCATTTATATTGTAAAGCGCTGAGCAAACTGTTGGCACTATATAAATCCTGTATTATAATAATAATAAGAAAAATATATGTAGGGCTGAAACAACTAATCAACATAATCAATTATATTCCATAATAAAAATAGTTATCAACTATTCATTATCAATTAGTTGGCCTGCATACAGAATGCAATATTTCTTCACATATCAGGAAATACAGCAGCACACATATAGCTCAGTACACCAGTCATACATGTCAGTATACACAGTGCAGCACATATACAGCTCAGTACACCGTTCACACATGTCAGTATACACAGTGCAGCACACATACATCTCAGTACACCGTTCACACATGTCAGTATACACAGTGCAGCACACATACAGCTCAGTACACCGTTCACACATGTCAGTATACACAGTGCAGCACACATACAGCTCAGTACACCGTTCACACATGTCAGTATACACAGTGCAGCACACATACAGCTCAGTACACCGGTCACACATGTCAGTATACACAGTGCAGCACACATACAGCTCAGTACACCATTCATACATGTCAGTATACACAATGCAGCACACATACAGCTCAGTACATCATTCATACATGTCAGTATACACAATGCAGCACACACACAGTTCAGTATACCTCCATACATGTCAGTAAGTGCCTCAGAACTGAATTTGTGAAGAGCAATGACTCATGGGACATGTAGTCCTGGGTAGGAGAAGGAACGGATTTAAAGTGATTGTAAGGGCTCATGTACACTGCAGCTGATAAACTCATGTTTAGGAGCTGTTCAGCTTTTTTTTCAGCAGCCCCTGAACTCACCCTAATGTTTTCCTATGTGTCCATGTACACATTGTCATTTACAGTCGTTTACAGGCAGTTGAGTTTACAGTTGTTTTTTTTGAATGCAGAAAACGTGCGTTCAGCAGTAGATTTTATCAGCGTTTCAAACGCAAAATGCTTGTAAATGCGTTTAAACATGGCTAACCGTGTTTATAAGCGTTTCCATTTAGAAGCGTTTTTGACAGGTCCATATCCATCCAGGGGACAATTCACTAAGTGATATCCTACATCTGAGTATGTGGTAGGATACTGCATAGCATTTTTTTAAAAAAACCCATTTGAATCCACTAAAAAAGGCTAATAAAATAACATATACATGCTGAATTTTAGTAGTGAAAAGCATGCATCATGTTTCAGCTGTCAGAGGGATTCCCACTGACAGCTGAATGTAAGGAAGAATTATCGGCAATTAAAAAATAATTAAAAAAAAAAAGGCGTGGGGTCCCCCCTCCCATCCATAGCAAGCCCTTCAGGTCTGGTATGGATTTTAAGGAGAAGCGCCACGCCAAAAAAAATGGCGTTGGGTTCCCCCCCAAAATCCATACCAGACCCTTATCCGAGCATGCAGCCCGGCAGGTCAGGAAAGGGGGGGTGAGCGAGCGCCCCCCCCCCCCGAACCATACCAGGCCACATGCCCTCAACATGGGGGAGGTGCTTTGGGGTAGGGGGGCTCCCCCCCAAAGCACCTTGTCCCCATGTTGATGGGGACAAGGGCCTCTTCCCCACAACCCTGGCCGGTGGTTGTGGGGATCTGCGAGCAAGGGGCTTATCGGAATCTGGAAGCCCCAGATCAAGGCCCCCCCTTGTGAATGAGTATGGGGTACATGGTACCGCTGCCCATTCACAAAAAAAAAGCTGTAGTGTGGAAAAAAGACAGGATTCATTCTTTGACAAGTCCTGTAATAAAAGAATGTCCCCGAAGTAGATCCAATGTCAATCATGATGTCATGATGTCTGCCGCCACCGCCGCTGCTCCGCGGAAAAAAAAAAAAAAAAAAAAAAAGGCTCCGTCACAGCGTGACAGCTGAAACATAATGCATGTTTTCACTATTAAAATACCGCATGACTTGATAAAATAACTCATGTGGTATTTTAGTAGCCTTTTTTACTGAATTTACTTTTTTTTCAGTGCATTCTGGGCATTTGGGAGGGTCTCCTGAGGTTATCTTTTAAAAAACTTCTAAATGCAAACATGCATAAACACGGCTAAACGCAGTATGCAAACCCAGCAAAACTGACGTTTTTTTAACCTACGTTTTTCCATCATTCAGAAGAGTTTTCCAAACGCCCCGTGTACATGATCCCTAAGGCAGAAATTTTTATATCTTGATATAGGGGCACTCTATGCTTGCTATAGGGGCACTCTGAAGGCAGAAGGAGCCAGAAGCGCTGGTGGGGGACCCAATTTAGACCTCTACTGTGCGCCTTGCACGGCAATCATGAATTTAAATCAGGTGATGAGAAGATAACATATCTCCTCCTCCCCACCTTGTGAATGAGCCCTTAGTTGCAGTCGGCAATGGCACCCTTAGAGCTCATTCGCACTTAAAGTTGGGGGGGGGGGCAATTCTGTAAAATCCTGCGGTTAAGTGCGTGGTTGCACCACCCCAATTCCTAATCCCTTTAGCTACAGAATCTAAAAGTGTACACATGCCACAGCAGTAATTAAACCCCCTGTTGCTTTTGGTGGGTGCTACCACGTGCCATTGATGACCCATTCAAGTAAATTGGGCCAGGCTGCCATCTCCCAGCAATGGTATGGAGTTTTGGTGCGCTTTTAGAAAGTGCGCCAAACACACAGGCCATAATAAAAGTCTATGGCTAAGTTCATTAAACCCAGGAGCACAGGAAAGCAGCAGGTACACTGCACTACACCCACGGCAGGGGCGGACTGACCATTTAGAAACTCGGGCACTGCTCGAGGGCCCAGGGTCAGTAGGGGGCCCCATGAGATGCCCCTGGTACCTTTTCATAGGCTTTTTTGAGTTTGGGCAAGGACACAGGGGCCCCATGATCCCCTATTGCCCGGGGGCCCCATGAGTTGTCAGCCCGCCCCTGACTCACGGTGTGGGTAAATTGCAGCACATTGGTGTGAAAGCAGCCTTATACTATTATGCCCAGTGTATTGCTTCACACTGACCTGACAATCTCTTCTTTCCTGCTGCTGGCACCACTCTGGAGACCGCTAGCCGGAATAAGCGGTGCAGTACAGTTGGTATCGCTCCGCATGGGAGTGGAGCCAGAACTACAGAGGAGGAATTGGATATACGGCTCCTGCTCCCTACTACAGCTCCAACTTTACAAGTAGTCCC